GGTGTTACACTCATCAAGAGCTTTCATTTGAGTACCCACATGCATTTTTGATATATTTTTCATATATACATATATATATATGATATATATAAATATATAAAATATATGAAAAATTAATGTGGGTACTCAAATTAAAGGTCTCGATGAGTGTAATGTCAAGATGAGCTTATATCTTTAAAAATGTCAATAATTCACAAGATACAAGGTCATTTCTTATTTAAGTATCTATATATAGAGCATTTATCCCATAAGACACCAAAAACTGAAAAAACTGAAATAAAACAGTATAAAAAATTTCTAAAAAAAAAACCACATCGAAGAGTACATACTCTTCTGGCGACCAAGGAATTGTTCCTTCTGTTGGGTCCATTCCTTCTCCTTGGTCTCCTTCAGCAGGTCTGTCAGTCCCTGTAATCAGGCCCACATGCAAGGGACAAGGACCACACATTAATAATTAACCATTAACCATTAATCATTAATCATTAACAATTAATCATAGATATCCATCTCCGGCTGCGAGTTCCTCCAACAATAACAATAACAATAATAAATAACAATAAAATTAATTAAGGGACCAAATACCATGCCTCCATTAATGACAGGGGGGGATTAATAAATAAAACTCGATTAAAGTGATTAAACGCGACGACTCACTTTTCGTGCGCTTCATGAACTGTTCAGTTTTTTGCTTCCACAATTTCTCGTTCAGTTCAGCTAACGCCGTATCATAACCCTATTTTATCAACTTTATTATTAACCTCTAAGGGCCGTTAATCGGTAATTAATAATAGATTTTTTATTTTGTTAATAAATGTCAACTTACGCCCTCGAACAATTTTTTCTTGTCGTCGTATGATCTTGTATCAACACGACGCTCGTACTTGGACGCCACCTGGATCTTGGGCTGAAAAAAAATTTTAATTCAAGAATTATTAATTTGTTTATTATTAAAAAAGGTATATTAACTAATAAAGAACTTGCTTTTATTCTTTAAGACACGAATCAGCCATTTTTTTGGTCAAGTTCCTCTATGGAACATTTGGAACAATTCAGGCCCATGCGCAGTACGTTTTTTTTTTTTGCAAAAATAACTTAATTATTGTCTATTATTTGGAACAAGTACTTTTAAAGCTTAATATAAACCTTATTGGATACAAATCAGTAATTTTTATAGCTAAGTTTCTCTATGGAACATTTGGAACAATTTAGGCGCATGCGCAGTACGTTTTTTTACAAAAATAACTTAATTACTGTCTATATTTTGGAACAAGTACTCTTAAAGGTCAATATAAACCTTATTGGATACACATCAGTCATTTTTTTGGTCAAGTTCGTCTATGGAACAATTTAGGCGCATGCGCAGTACGTTTTTTTACAAAAATAACTTAATTACTGTCTATATTTTGGAACAAGTACTCTTAAAGGTCAATATAAACCTTATTGGATACACATCAGTCATTTTTTTGGTCAAGTTCGTCTATGGAACAATTTAGGCGCATGCGCAGTACGTTTTTTTACAAAAATAACTTAATTACTGTCTATATTTTGGAACAAGTACTCTTAAAGGTCAATATAAACCTTATTGGATACACATCAGTCATTTTTTTGGTCAAGTTCGTCTATGGAACAATTTAGGCGCATGCGCAGTACGTTTTTTTACAAAAATAACTTAATTACTGTCTATATTTTGGAACAAGTACTCTTAAAGGTCAATATAAACCTTATTGGATACACATCAGTCATTTTTTTGGTCAAGTTCGTCTATGGAACAATTTAGGCGCATGCGCAGTATGATTTTTGCAAAAATAATTTCTAAGTATAATTTTTTTATTATTAAAAAAGGTATTTTAACTATTAAAGAACTTGGTTTTATTTTTTTGAACACGAATCTGTGATTTTTTTGGCTAAGTTCCTCTATGGAACATTTGGAACAATTCAGGCGTATGCGCAGTTTGATTTTTTGAAAAAATAACTTATAATTAGTAAATTATTGTCTTTTTTTTGGAACAAATACTTTTTCTGCCCTCCGGCCGGAAACTTTCTGGCCGCTGCGCTAAACAAAGTTGCCACATTCCGGCTACGTCGAGCAGAAAAATAGTATACACACCTTGGCCAGTAAAAAGTAAAGCCTCAGACCACATGTTTGTCAACCTCGGCTTCGCCTCGGCCAACAATTACATGTGGTCTGAGACTTTTCTTATTTTACTGGCCTATGTATGTAATATACTATTAAAGGTCAATTTAAACCTTATAGGATACAAATCAGTCGTTTTTTTAGCCAAGTTTCTTAATGGAACATTTGGAACAAGTCAGGCGCATGCGCAGTACGTTTTTTTGCAAAAATAAATTAATTATGGTCTATTTTTTGGAACAAGTCCTTTTAAAGGTCAATATAAGTCTTATTAGATACAAATTAGTCATTTTTATAGCTAAGTTCCTCTATGGAACATTTGGAACAAGTCAGGCGCATGCGCAGAACTTTTTTTTTTAAATTTCATTAATTTTTTTTGACTAAAAATTTTCAAATAATTGGAAGGATCTTTTATTTAGATATTCTGATTAATTTAAATATCCTGGACCATTAATTAATAATTAATAATTAATTAATAATAATACATACGGGGTACTTTCCGGTTAACGCCTCGGGGTCAAGACCCTTTTTCAGGGCCTTATGCCTCAGCTGTTGCTTCTGTCGCTCCTTCAACTCTTTCAACTGTGAATTAATCATTATTAATTAATTAACGTAATCAACTTTAATTTTAAACCTTCGGAAAAGGTTGAAAAAAATTTTTTTCAACTTCCGGTTTTAAAAATTCATAATCTCTATTCTATCAGCTTTAAAATGAGCCCGAGTTGGAATTTTTCTGATAATTCTAACCCGAGATATGCCGAGCGTTAATCAATTAATCAGATTATTTGATTAATGATTAACGCTCGGATATCTCCGGTTTAAATTATGGGAAAAAATCCAACCCAGGCTTATTTTAAAGCTAAAAGAACACAGATTAAGAATTTCTAAACTCGGAAGTTGAAAAAAATTTTTTTCACTTTTTTTTAGAGCGTTTAAAAATTAGTAGGAACTCACGTCGTAGTCTTGACGCTTCTGACGCTCTTCCAAGTCGTATTTTTCAGTTTCCAACTTAACAATTGTCTCCCAAAGATCATTGGCCTTAGAGCGCAATCTCTCGATTGAAAGGTTCTCAATTTCAAGAGGCTTGATACGAATTGACAAAGAGATTTTCTTCTCTTCTTCTAGCTGTTCTTTTGTCTTGTTACGTTCCAATGCCGCCGATGACATGTTTCCCTGAAAAAACACCGAAAATTAGCCAATTAATCTCCGATTAATTAATTAATTGGCTAATTAATTAATCACTACTTACCATATCTTTTTTGTTAATAGTAAAGTTGGGTCCCTTTTTGCTCTGATCTTTCATTGCTTGCATCATAGCTTGACGCTTTTTCTCCGACTCTTCAAGACGCCTGTGATTAATAAGACGATTATTTAATTAATGGGTCATTAATTTTCCAATATTATCATGGAGGGTTGTGGGGAGATAGTTCAAGAGTATACAAAAAAAATTTGAAATTAATCCGATGATTATTTTCAAAGTTACAGAAGTTTAAAGTTAGATGTTGCGGATGTACGGATGAGCTAATTGTCTGTAACTCGGAAACTAATTAACCGATTTGAAAAATTGAAACGGGAAATTAAAGAGGGTGTAATTCTGAGTGACCTTGCAAAATTTGGGGTAATTTGGTCACATAGTTTCTATGAAAAAACTAAAGACGTAAATGAGTTTGTGATTAATTAAGCGATTAATTAATTAATGGGTGATTAATGGTCGAAGATGACTACGGAGGGTTGTTGGGAGATAGTTCAAGAGTTCACAAAAAAAATTTGAAATTAATCCGATGATTATTTTCAAAGTTACAGAAGTTTAAAATCAGATGTTGCGGATGTACGGATTAACTAATTGTCTGTAACTCGAGAACTAATTAACCGACTTGAAAAATTGAAACGGGGAATTAAAAAAAGTGTAATTCTGAGTGGCCTTGCAAAATTTGGGGTAATTCGGCCACCTAGTTTCTGATAAAAAAAAAATTCTTACTTTCTCTTTTCTTCCTGGTCACGTTGTTTCTTCTCCTCTGTAATAATTTATCAATATTAATAATTCAATTATTTTTTTTTTTTATTTTAAATTACCAATTTCACGTTGACGACGTTCCTCCTCCTCCTTCTTCTTCTGGGCCATTCTTTTTTCTTCCTCAGCACGGCTGACTTTGCGCTTAGCTTGTTTCTCCTTCAACATTTTTAATTCTTCCTCTTCCTTGGCCCTCTGTTTCCGCCATTCCATAATATATTCCTTAAGCTGTTCATCGAGATCGCTTCTCTTTTGTTCTTGTCTCTGCAAAAAAAAAAAAACTTAGCAAAACCCCCTTTAAAAAAAAAAAAAAAAAAAAAAAAAATTCTTACCTTCATAAATTCCGGATTGTCGGAGTCTCTGCACGGAAAAAAATAAAATTAATAAGCGACAAAAAGATAAAATAATTACAAAAAAAGCCTTAATTAATGTTCGATACAATTAAAGCGTAATTATTATAATTATTAACAATTACAGCTGCGGATAGGTGGTAGGTAAAAAAAAAATAAAAATCGTAAGGGGTAACACGGATTATTGCTCCTTTAACAAAATTCTGCGTAAGCTAGAAAAAATAATAATAATAATTATGTTTATAATTATTTTAAGGGGTGTTTATTTACAGGTAACCCTTTTCGTAGGGTTGTAAGGTCTGAAATTAATAAATTATTTACATAAATAATAAAAAAATGGCAATTTAATGCAATTGTTTGTAACAAATCCTCTAACTTACTTTTGGGACGCCCTACCCCTACAAAAAAGAGAAATATTGATATTAATATATTCTTAATACCTTAATTATCTTCTAAATAAGCAGATTAATTATTTAAATTAAAAAATTTTAAAAAAGCTCGCAGGTGAACTTTTTTATGTTGGCGTCAAGCCAAGACGCTTGTTCATGTAACGGGAGTGGACGGGGTTCGATCCCAGGCCCCGGTAATTTTTTTTTTTTTTTTTTTTTTTTTAATTAAAATTGTAAATTAATCTGCGTTAATATTTTTTAAAAAATTTACCCCTCGTTGAAGAGTTTGTCGGGAGTGAGGATGTTGATATTATTAAAGGATTAACCATCGACACAATTGCTCGTAATTGGCTAAATCTTGTACTGTTTTTTTTTTTGAATAATTAATTTTAATAAAAAAAATAAAATAAAAAAATGAAAAATCTCAAAAAAAAAAAAAAAAAACAACAACAAATTATATACAAGCGTCTTATCAGCGTTTGTCAGCGTTAGCATGTCTCGTTTATTTTTTAGCTGTAAAATAAAATTATTTTATTATTATTGATTATTGATTATTAATTTTTAAACAATAAAGGCGGTTCAGCGAAACGATTTGTCGTTTTTTGGTTTTTTTTTATTATTTAATTAAAAATTATTTTTTAATAATTAAAAAAAAAATTAATTAATTTTTTTATAAAAAATTGCGAGCTAGTAATTTTGTTTTTTTTAAAAAAAAGGCGAGGCGAAGAACTGCGGACGAACATTAACTTACTCGATCTTCTTCTCTGGCTGCCTTTAATGTCAATGTCGCATTGGATCAATTGATTGCGTCGTTGGATTTTTATTTATTTATTATTTATTGAGAGACGGATGGTTCGTAATGGAAAGAGAAAGACCAGAGTCAGTTATTGGCTTTGTGTGTGTACGGTGTTAGTAAATTTTTATCATCTAATTACTAATTACTAATGACTAATAGAGCAACCGAATTTTAATTATTTTAAGTGTAATTAGGTGAAATTTTAAAAAATAAATAGTGTGGTCAATATGGAATTTTATAAAGAGTAAATGAAAAAAAAAAATTTGAAAATCGAACAAGTAGGAGCTGAGATATGGCCAATTTTGAAATCCGTACATTGTTCTGTACGCATGTACGGATTGTAATTTTCGCGGTAATTTTGAGTAATTTTAATGCACAAAAGCATTTTTCTTGTTAATTTAAAGATTCTGAGTCGATTGAAATGGCTTTCAAGTTAATTTGAAACATCAAAATTAACTTAAGGACCGAAATTTTGAAAATTTTTCCTAAAATCCGAATTAAAAATTTTTTATCTAAAATTGTGACTAATATTCAAATTTATTTATTTTAGTGTATAATTTGCCGGTAAAAAAATTTTTTTTAATCGGGTGAGTTGGTGCCGAGATATAACGAAGTCGTACATTCGTACATTATTTAGTACGGATGTACGGATCATTGATTTCTCGGTAAATTTAAATAATTTCAATGTACAAAAGCATTTTTATTGTCAATTCAAGTATTTTGAGTTAACTGAGATGGTTTTCAAGTAAATTAGAAGCTTCAAAATTAAATTACAGACCAAATTTTGAAAAGTTAACAGTGTGGGCTACTAAGAATTTTATAAGGAGTGGATATAAAAAAAAATTTTGAAAATCGGCTCAGTGGGAGCCGAGATACGGCCAATTTGTAAATCCGTACATTGTTCTGTACGGATGTACGGATTTTAATTTTCGGGTTAAATTGGAGTAATTTCAATGTGCGAAAGCACTTTTCTTATTAATTCGAGTATTCTGAGTCGACTGAAATGGTTTTTAAGTTAATTTGAACCTTCAAAATTAAATTAAAGACTAAAATTTTTTTCTCTTTTTATAATTTAATTTAAAGTGTAAAATTGATCCGGTCACTCTATTTATAAAAATAAACACACGATCTATTTTAAATTTAACCAGACTTGCTCTATATACACATATATTTGAATTAAATATGTTTATATGAATATATAAAAGTCTAATTAAATTTCTACTTCTAATCTACAAATTCTCAAATTTTAATCAATATTGTGTAGCCCTATTTAAAAATCCATCTTGCGACTTACTTCCTGCAAAATTTCCAAAAAATCTTCAATTAGAAAATTTTCAAAAAAAAAACTTTTTTTTTTAATTATTTTTTTTTCAACTTACACTTCCTCGACCTCCTCCTCTTCGCTCCTAACATAAATAGGAAAAACGAATAATTAATATTAATACACATGCGGAATAAAATTAATTACAGGGCGGAGATTTTCGAAAAAAAAAAAATAATAAAAAAAAACATACAAGGGTGACATTTAAGGTGACATATAATTTTTTTTTTCCAAATATTTTTCTACTTACGAGTATTGCTCCTCGTCGTCAGACATGTTTGTTGTTTATTGAGTTTTCTGCAAAAAAAAATAATTAATTAAAATTTATTAATTAATTAATTATTAATTAGAGAAATAATTACGAGTAAATAAAAATAAGAAACCCGATACTAGATCCCGAAGCGCTCTATAAGGAGAGATCACCTCCGAATCGTAACTCTAATTTTAACTAACGCATACGCGCCCGGTGAGCTCTAAACTCTCGCTCTCTCTCTCTCTCTCTCTCTCTTGCCGTCGGCTTTCAAAAATAAAATTTGTATTTATATACAATTGTATCTCGACCTATTTTCTCATATTTCAGCTTTGATTTTTCTTATTCATTTTTTTCGGGTCTATTTTAAATAATTTTATTCTTTATTTTTAAAGTAAAAAAAAAAAAAAAAAAATTATGTAAACAGGATTCGAACCCTAGTCCTGCAGAACGAAAGTTTTTAGGTATTATCACTTCGCTAATATAAAAAATTGACCTGAGGAATGTTGGAAAAATAATTTGATATTATGGTTTGTTATTTTTTGGAGAGTTAGATTATGAGGGAGAATATTTAATTGTTATTTTATTTTTTGGAGAAAATTAGATTAAAATTTTGGTATTTTTAAGGCTGCAGAATATTATATTTTCATAAAATTTTGTTTTTTTAATTTTGAATGAAATTTTAATTATCAAAAATTTTATATAAAAATTATTAAAAATTCCCCATAATAAAAATTTTTCAAAATTTCCCATAGTTCAAAATTTGACAGAAAAATTTTAAAAATTCCTCATAATAAAAATTGTTCAAAATTTGACATAAAAATCTTCAGAATTACTCATATTAAAAATTTTTCAAAATTTACCATTAATAAAAATTTCGCATGAAAATTTTTAAAAATTCCCCATATTAAAAATTTTTTTGAATTTAACAGTTTAAAATTTGACACAAAAATTTTTCAAAATTTCCATAATTAAAAATTCGACATAAAAATTTTTCAAAATTTGACATAAAAATTTTTAAAAATTCCCCATAATAAAAATTTTTAAAAATTTCCTATAGTTAAAAATTTGAAAAAAATTTTTCAAAATTCCCCATAAAAATTTTTTTAATTAGAAAATGCCACTAAAAAAATTAAAAAATTTTTTTTTAAAATCCCCCATAAAAATCACTCACAAAAAATTCACCATTCAAAAATTCACCATAAAAATCACTTTTAAAAAAATTGACTAAAAAATTAAAAAGAAGAAATATACTTTAAAAAAAATCAACTTACACTTGAAAAAAAAAAAAAATAATCCCCTTGCGGATGCGTGAAAAAAAAGAGTACGCACTGAACAAAGTTCCGCGGTGGAATGTGGAGTCCGCACTGGTAACAGCGGCTCTGAGAACACTGGAGTAAGTAAAGAATATCTAAGTAAAGAATAATCCACCACTACCGCCACCAGTTTATTTTACTAACGACTAACAACGATCCTCGCCTTCTTCGTCGTGCAGCTCGGTTAATTTTAGTCACACCATCGCCACCTAAGTTATCTTATGCGCCCCCCACCCGCCCGAAAGCTCCACTCGCCCACCCCAAGACATCTGCCGATCCCCCCGCGGGCTCTAATTCGACATCGCGGCAACAAAATTCAATCTATAATAAATATAACGATACTATTTTTGTCATTTTAAAAAGGCTAGTATCGTAGGAGAGAAACTTGAGAAAAATTAAATATCTTACCGATTTATAAATATTCGAAATTTGTAAGACACTTCCCAGGGATATAAAATAACAAATCTGTTGTCGGAAGATGCAAATAAACGATTTTTGTTAATAGTTACCGATCTGATATAGAAATCGGCACTTTTTTTTTTTGATATATCGGTTCTGTAGGAGATTCCAGACAGAATGATACCAAAAGATCGGCACTTTTCTAAAAGATCGGTATGGGACTTGTGAAATTCCGCGTTGACACTTTCTTTGTGCAAGGTTTCAAACCGCGATAACTACTAAACTATTGAAGTTACAGAAAAAAGTTTCGGACAAAAGTTGTAGGGAATTTTATTTTGGATTTAAAAGATCTCTTATGATTTTTTTTTGATTTTTAATATTTTAGCCGGAATTTTGATTATAAAATTGAGAAGAAATTTTGATCCTTGTGAATTCCTAAAAACTTTAAATTGCAATTATGACTTAATTATTGAAATTACAAAAAAAAAAGTTTGGGTCAAAAGTTGTAGGAAATTCAATTATCTACAAAAAAAGGTTTCTTTTGAATTTTTCCTAAAATCAATAGATTTTCCAGAATTTTCATTTTAAAGTTTACAATAAACTTTTCAAGTTTATTAAATAATTTTCAATTTATTAATTTTTTTTTTTCAAATTGCGATATCTTCTAAAATATCAAAGTAATTAAAAAACATTTAAAACAAAGTTTAAAGTAAATTTCCTCCTCTACAAAAAAAGGTATCTATCAAATTTTCTCCAAGCTCAATAATTTTCCCAGAATTTTCATTTCAACATTCCTAGTGACATTTTAAATTCTCCCTCTCAATTTTTCTTTTTAACCCCGCTATCTCTCAAACTACAAAAGGTCCAAAAAAAAGTTTCCTACAAAACTTCTACAAAATAAAATTCCCTACAAAAAAAGGTCTCTAACAATTTTTTCGTATCTCCAATCATTACCCCAGAATCTCAACTCGCTCCCTAAAATCACCTTACAAAAATCGTTATCATCCTGGATCGTAGATCATCCTGGATCCGATGGTACCAAAAGATCGGCACTTTTCAAAAAGATCGGTATGGGACTTGCCGAATTTCGTGTTAACACTTTCTTCGAATTAAACTTAAAACCTTGATAACTACTAAACTATTGAAGTTATAAAAAAAAGTTTGGGATAAAACTTGTAGGAAATTTTATTTTATACAAAAAAATGTTTCTTATGATTTTTTCATATCTCGATTATTTTAGTCAGAATTTTTATTTTAAGATTCATGATTGAGAAATTTTGATGATTATCAATTCTTAAAAAGTTTTAATTAAAATTTTTAATCAATAAGTTGTCTAACGGAAAAAATGTTTTGGGACAAAATTTTTAGGAAATTGAATTTTCTATAAAAAAGATTTCAACGATTTTTCTGTATCTCCAATCATTTTCCTAGAATTTTAATTCTTAGATTTATAATAAAGAAATTTTGAACATTATTAATTCCCAAAAACTTTAAATTGGAATTCTAACTAAACTATTGAGGTTACAAAAAAAATTTTAAATAAAACTAGTAGGAAATTAAATTTCCTACAAAAAAAGGTCTCTTACAATTTTTCAATGTCTCCAACCATTTCCCCAGAATTCCAACCAACATCCCTGAAGACGCTATACAAAATCGTTAATAAGTACCGATCTGACCCAGAAATCGGCACTTTTTTTTCTCAAAATCGTTTCTATTGACCCTTCTGGACCCAAATATACCAAAAGATCGGCACTTTTCAAAAATATCGGTAAGGGACTTCCGGAATTGACTCTAAGAATCGGTACCAGGAACATTCTTTTCAAATTCCTTTTTTCTCAAGTTAACTTTGACAAAAGTAGGGGTTATTATACATCATTTCACGCTGAATTTTACAAAGATTATTAATACTATATCCTTTATCAACAAAAAAAATTTTATATTATTCAAAATCTTGTTTAAAGTCCAGAAAATTATAAAGCTAGAGCCAAGATGTGTCAGGTTATTTCCGAGCAATAAGACATAATAATAATTGTTTAGGATGGAAGTGAGAAGCGACAAAATAACATAATGATAGTATATAACGTAAGAATAAAAAAAATTGGGATGAAAGAAGAGAAGTTTAGAAATGGGGCCGCCATATTTGGCCTCCATTATATTTTTGTATGCGAGGTGCCAAGCAATGTTACGTATTTGATGATAGATGTGTATATTATTTAGTAAATATATAATATATATGTGATGTATATATATTTAATGTTGTATGGGTTCAGTTATTTTTATTTTTGACTATTGGGGATTGTTTAAGAAGTTAGAGAAATTTAGACTAATTCGAGATCAATGAATTATTTTTAATTTTGTTTCAAAATTAAAAAAAAAAATTATTTTTTTTTTTAATGTGAATTTTTGTAATATAAAGACAATAAAAAAAAATTTTGATAAGTTTTAGGCTGTGTTTGATAATTCTCTATCTCTAGATATATAATTAAGAAATGACCTTGTTTGTTGTGAACTATTGACATTTTTAAAGATATAAGCTTATCTTGACATTATACTCATCAAGACCTTTCATTTGAGTACCCACATCAATTTTTCATATATTTTATATATATTATATATATGTATATATGAAAAATATATCAAAAATGCATGTGGGTACTGAAATGAAAGCTCGTGATGAGTGTAACATCGGGATGAGCTTATTTCTTTAAAAACGTCAATAGTTAAAAAAGTACAGTGCAATTTAACAAAATTCATTATTTACTAAAATAAAATTTTATTTATTTATAGTTCACTACAAGGTTGCTAGTAATAAAATAATTTTGAATTATATACTTACTTAATTGTTTCTAATATGAGGTATAATAGGCTTTTTAAAAGGTCTCATTTTTCCTCCAAATCTTAACTGGCCAGATTCTTTTTTTCCTCCAAATCCTCCACCTAGAAAATAAAAAATAAATTATTATTTAATAATTAATACTTATAATGAAAAATTCTTTTAAATTTCATTTTATTAAAAAAAAAAAAAAAAAAAAATGTGACCAGGATTCGAACCCAGGTCTAGCATAACAAGAGTTTTCATCCGCAACCACTTTGCTATCATAAAATTTTGACCTAAGGAATTTCGAAAAAAAAATTAGATATTCTGGTTTGTAATTTTTAGGAGATTAATAATTTTTTAACAAAATTATAATTTTAATTAAATTTTTTTTAATGTATAATTAAATATTAGAGAAACTTCTATTGAAGTTTTTTTTATAAAAATAAATTTTAAAAAAAATAAAATTTACCTAGTCTTCTAGGTTTCCAATTTTTCATAGTTCTACCGAGTTCGTGGTCGACAAAAATTTTAACTCCGTCACAAAAAGTATCATTAAGGTTGCGGATTGCGCGTTTAGCCTGGTCATCAGTCGCCATTTCTACGAATCCATAGCACATAGATTGTCCAGTAACTACGTCGACGATTATTTTTGCTGTTATAACTTCTCCTACGGTTAAAAAATGCTGAAAAATTATTATTATTAATGATTCCAAAAGTAATATTTCCTATATAACATCAACATTTTTTACAGGAAATTTTCTGAGCTACAATTTTTTATTCTTATAATTCTTTCCTAAAATTAATATTTTAGGAGTTATGACCATTTTTTACCTGAATTAAATCTTGTCTTGTAGTTTTAGGATTAAGCTTCGATACAAATAAAGTTGAAGAAGGATAAGACTTTAAATTATACGGCGGCTGATAATGAGAATTAATAGCACGAGTTATTCCTTTGTCATGTGGCTCTGTATCAGTTCCATCGATACTTCCAGCTTTTAGTGGATCGTACTCTTTTAAATAAGGACTCCAGTTTTTTAATACTTCATTCTAAAAATTTACAAAAAAATATTATTATTATTATTATTGACACTGTCAATTTTTTTTCTATTTAAAAATAATTTTATTTTTATTTATTAATTAATTATTAAAAAAAAAATATTTTTTTGTTGTAAAAAAAAAAATTATTATTATTATTATTATTATTATTATTGACACTGTCAATTCTTTTTATTTATATCAAAAGAATTTATTTTTAATTATTAATTAAATGTTAAAAAAACTATTTTTTTTTGTAAAAAATTATTATTATTATTGACATTGTTAATTTTTTTTATTTTTAGAAGAATTTATTTTTATTTATTAATTAATTGTTAAAAAAAATATTTTTTTTTATAAAATAAAATTATTATTATTATTATTATTATTATTCAATAAATTAAGAAAATAAATATAACCTAAAAATTCTTACCATTTTAATTTAAAAAAATTGTTTCACAATTTTTAGCGCTTTTATTAAAAATTTTAATAAAATTATTAAGAAATTCACTTAAAGTAATTAATAATAAAATAAATTTATTTACTAATTTATTTTTACAAAAATAATTTCACTGTTTCTCTTGTTATTGTTGTTGTGTTGTCAAGTTGTCTCACCAAAAATAAAAAATGGCGGCTGAAATATAAAGGTAGTTGCTGCGCATGCGTCGAGGCGGGAAAATAAAAAGCGCGGAAATTTTTTCAAATTTAAATTTAAAATATCAAATTAATTTTTGAAATTTTATTTATTAATTATTTTTAATAATTTCTTTCACAAGGTGTATTATTTTGTAATAACAATAATAAACAATAAAATATATACTAAATTAATTATATTAAATCTCAATAATTATTATTTTTAATTACATTATTAGTGATATAAAATATCAGGCAAATTGCGTATAAGTACAAAAAATTAATTGACTTTTTTTCAGAAAATTTTAATAAAGTACATTTTCTTTTTAATAAAAAATGTAATTATAATTATTATTGTCATTTTTAATAAGTTTTTTAAAATGTTAATTTTTTGTTTTTTGAGTGAGTCCAAGTTAAATTGCTATATCTCCCAAAATATTAAAAATAGGCCTATAGTATAAAAACATTTTTGATAGGAAATTTCTTAAGCTACAATTTTGGATTCTTATAATTTTTTCCTAAACTCAATATTTTAGGAGTTATGGTCTTTTTTATACTTGACCTTGAAAATGATAATATTAATTACAGAAAAAAAGATTTTTAATTATTTAACCTTGAAAATTCGACTAAAAAATAAGACTTTAATATTTTTCTAACAAATTTTATTCAAATAAGATCAAAATTAATATGAGCGCCCATCCTTTGAAGAGCAAGAATAGTATTGACGGCCTTGACCCACCGTTTCTTGATAACATATCTCTTGAGTCTGACTTTGGAAATAGGGTTTTCCAAAGCCTTAGCGAGCCACCGATGTTCCTGCAATTGAGCTGCACTGGGTCGCTTTCTGTAAAATTTCTCAAAAATTCAAAAATCCTCCTCAAAAAATAAAACCGATCTCTCATTTAAATTCCCGTGACTTTTGGACAGTTTGAAAATACCGCGCCAAAGAATTTATCGACCGTCGGCCAATCGACTCGTCGTTCCAGTCGACACTGATCGATTTCCTGGGCAGTGCTGCCCCCCTTGGCTTCTCTTGGTCCCACTCGTCCAACAGCTTCAATAATAAATTTTTTGCACTATTCGGCTCATCTAAATTCATAGTCTTGTGCATGTTTTGCAGGTTAGTTATCCTCGGGACATCTCGGCAAGTTTCGCCGAACCGATGTTTGGCCCTGGCTTTCCGCCATGGCGGCGTCAGGTCGATGTCAACGTCCTCTCGGTCGAATCTGTTGAACACAGTTTCCTGGAAACTTTTGTGGGGGTTAAACTTCGTGCCATTTAATTTTCTGTCCCGAGTTATGGCATTTAATTTTTCATTTATTTCATTTGTTTCACTTTCTGACGTGTTTATCGACACTCGGCTGGATTTTATTGAGGAAACTTTACTCTCCATTTCAGTAGCTTTTATTTGACTACCATCTTGTCCATATGCCATATTTGCCATATTTTGTGCCATATCTGCCATATTTGTACCCATAGTCTCCATATTTGATATATTGTTCCGCTTAACTTTACTAGTATTCTGATCTGAAATATTTGTTGCCATATCACCCATATTTGCCATATTTTGTGCCATATCTGCCATATTTGTACCCATAGTCTCCATATTTGATATATTGTTCCGCTTAACTTTACTAGTATTCTGATCTGAAATATTTGTTGCCATATCACCCATATTTGCCATATTTGCCATATTCTTACCCATATTCTCCATATTTGACATATTGGTCCGTTTAATTTGATTAGTATCCTGATCTGCCATATTTGTGGCCATATCACTCATATTTGCCATATTTCTTGCCATATCTGCCATATTTCCCATGTTTAGTATATTTTTCTTGATTTTGTCTTCTTTTAATAGACTTTTATCGTGTCCAATTGCCATATTTTGTGCCGTATTTGGTATATTTGCCATATGTGCCATATTTGCCACATTTGGTGCCATATTGGCCATATTTGCCATATTAGGTGCCATATGTGCCATATTTACCTTATTTGCCATATCTGACGTATTTTTCTTAAATTTGTTCCCCTTTAATAAACTAATATCCTCTCTAGTTGCCATATTATGTGTTATATTATCCATATTTGCCATATCACCCATATTTGCCATATTTTGTGCCATATTTGCCATATTAATATTTTCTGCCATATTTTTCTGAATTTCACCTTCCGCCTTTTTAATTTTACCTTCCCCATATGCCATATTATCCATATTTGCCATATCACCCGCCATCTTGTTATTCCCCTCCCGATTTGCCAATAACCTCAAATGCTCCGAAAGTTTAATAATTTCCTCAGCAATTTTTATCTGAGAAGCCGGATCTCGGTACTCCTGACCCTGACCCTCAGAGGCGCGACGTTCGAACGCCAAATTAGGAACATTAAGAAACAACCTATCGTCAAAAGCGCTCTCTGAGGTCAAACTACAAATACTCTCAGGAGGGGAGGGGCTTTGACCTTTCAAGGACATTGACCTGTCCCCCTCTCTCTCGACTGTTCCATTGTCCTCGAAGAGATACGGACTGTTCGGGTGGTCCCGCCATCTTTCGACAAACTGCTTCAAGTTATCTTTCGTCACGTCCAGTTCGCTTTTATTTTTGACTACAGGTGGCGCTGGAGTCGCAACAGGTGGCGCGACTTTCTTTATCTTTTTCTTCTTTTTCAATGGCGACGGTTTCTTCGTTTTTGAATTTGATTTTGGCGCCAACCACGGATGGAACCGACAAACGTGTGCCGAAATTCGTTTTCTGTAATTTTTTTTACTCCGTAAATTTCTCATACTTTTTTTTTTAATTTTGTCTTTCGTGCCTTTTTGGCGGGAAAAAATTCAAAATGGCCGGTCGGAGATTTACAGAGAGATCGGTTGATTTTTGTTATTTATCATTATTTTTTTCTAATTATTAATAATAATTAATTTTGTTATAGCTAATTAATTATTAATAAATTTAAAGTCACGAAAGACAAAATTAATGTTAATTGTTAATATTTTACTATATTTGTTAGTTTTTTTTTTTTGGGAATATAGGTTAAATAAAATACGAAGCAATACGAAGATTTCCGAGTGTTTCCGAAGATTACCGAAGGTAGCCGAAGTTCGAAACTTTTGATATTTCAATAAGTTAAATCATCTCTAAAAATTTCCGAACATTTACGGAAACACCCGAAGACTCCCGAGTGTTTCCGAAGATACCCGAAGTTCGAATTTTTCATATTTTTGTCAGTAAAATTATCTTCAAAAATTTCCGAAGACTCACGGAAACACCCGAAGATAGGCGAAGATAGCCGAAGTTACCCGAAGTCTAAATTTTTGCGTTTTCTTCATAAGTTCGCAATCTAGATAACTTTCTAACCAAGCAATTACTTTAAATATAAATAAAACATGCGGGAAAAATTCAAATTAATCATTAACTCACTCTTTGTCTTTAACAAGCAAGCGACGTATGAAATCTTTGGCGTCCTCTGAAATATTGTTGAAAGCTTCGTGATCAAAGTCGTATTTAGCTATTGTTACGTTCGCCATTGTTTCGACATCAGTGTCTCCCATGAAGGGCGACAGTCCCGACAACCTGGAAAAAAATTAAGAAGAATAGGAAAAAAGATAAATTTTAATTAATTTTTTTAAAAATTATGTATAGTTTACAGAACGTAACAGATGACTCCAATGCTCCACATATCAGTTCCGTATCCAATCTGATCAAAATTTACAACTTCAGGCGCTACGAATTCAGGAGTTCCGAAGAGAACCTGGAGTTTTTTTCTTGGATCAAATTGTCTGGCTAGTCCAAAGTCTATTATTTTTATTCGGTTACCTTCTTTGGTTAAGCATAGGATGTTTTCTGGCTGTAAGTAATTGATATATTTAAATTTAAAAAAAAAATACAAAATTAAAAAGAAAAAAATTTTTTTTTAAAGTGTAATAATAATTGGAATTAAAAAAAAAATGATAATTTAAAAATAAATTTTTGATTTAAAAAAAAAAATTATTTTTTGAATTATAAAAAATTGAATTTTTAAAAAAAATTTAAGTGTGAAGAATAATTTTAATTTTTGAAAAAATCAAAATTTAAAAAAAAAAATACTAAATTGTAAAAAAAATTTATTTTTTTTTTTTTAAGTGTGATAATAATTCGAATTTTGTAAAAAATTTTTGATTTTGTAAAAAAAATATTTTTTTTTTACTTATAAAAATTTGAATTTTTTAAAAAATTTCAATTTTTTAAAACAAAAATTTTATTTTGTTCTAAAAAAATTATTAATTAAAAACAATATTACCTTCATATCAAGATGTAAAATATTTTGTGAATGTACAAATTCAATCCCTTCGCAAATTTGCCGCATAAAAACAGCGCAACTCCTTTCCGTAAGAACAAAATCGTCGTCAATCACTCTCTCAAACAATTCTCCTCCTTCAATTCTAAAAATAAAAATTATAATTAATATTAATTATTATTATTACTAGTATTATTATTTTATAAAATTTTTAATACTATTAAACTTACAACTCTAACACAACATAAAACTGCTTAGTATTATCAATTGCGTCATACAATTGAATTAACCGAGGATGCTGTAACCGGCGCATTATTTCAACTTCACGCTCAACCGAACGTCTGTCTTCCTTCTTAGTTGTATTTACGATTTTCACCGCTAATTTTAGCCCATTCTTTTTATCCTTACATAGATACACTGTTCCAAATTTTCCTCTAAAAAATGAAAAAAATTCAAATTATTTATCGTGAATTTTAAAATGAAAATTCTGAAAAAATTATTGGAAATATGGAAAAAAAATCATGAGACATTTTTTGTAGTAAATAAAATTTCCCAAAAATTTTGTCCCAAACTTTTTTTTGTAACTTCTATATTTAAGTCAAAATTTTCACTGAAAATTACAAAAATTCATAAAGTTCAAAATTTGTTGGTTATAAATTTTAAGAGTGAATTTTTGGGTAAAATATTGAAAATACGAAAAAATTATGAGTCCTTTTTTGTAGAGAATCAAAAGTACTACAAATTTTGTCCGAAACTTTTTTTTGTAACTCCAATAGTTTAGTAGTTATCGCGGTTGGAACTTTAGTTCCAAGACGGTTCCAACGCGGAACATCACAAGTCCTATACCGATCTTTTGGAAAAGTGCCGATCTTTTGGTAGCATCGGATCCAGGATGATCTATAGAACCGATATATAAAAAAAAAAGTGCCGATTTCTATATCAGATTGGTAACTATTAACGATTTTTGTAAGGTGATTTTAGGGAGCGAGTTGAGATTCTGGGGTAATGATTGGAGATACGGAAAAATTGTTAGAGACCTTTTTTTGTAGGGAATTTTATTTTGTAGAAGTTTTGTAGGAAACTTTTTTTTGGACCTTTTGTAGTTTGAGAGATAGCGGAGTTGAAAAGAAAAATTGAGAGGGAGAACTTAAAATGTCACTAGGAATGTTGAAATGAAAATTCTGGGAAAATTATTGAGCTTGGAGAAAATTTGATAGATACCTTTTTTTGTAGAGGAGGAAATTTACTTTGAACTTTGTTTTAAATGTTTTTTAATTACTTTGATATTTTAGAAGATATCGCAATTTGAAAAAAAAAAAATTATTAAATTGAAAATTATTTAATAAACTTGAAAAGTTTATTGGTAAACTTTAAAATGAAAATTCTGGAAAATCTATTGATTTTAGGAAAAATTCAAAAGAAACCTTTTTTTGTAGATAATTGAATTTCCTACAACTTATGACCCAAACTTTTTTTTTGTAATTTCAATAATTAAGTCATAATTGTAATTTAAAGTTTTTAGGAATTAACAAGGATCAAAACTTCTTCTCAATTTTAAAATCAAAATTCCAGCTAAAATATTAAAAATCAACAAAAAATCATAAGAGATCTTTTAAGTCCAAAATAAAATTCTCTACAATTTTTGTCTGAAATTTTTTTCTGTAACTTCAATAGTTTAGTAGTTATCGCGGTTTGAAACCTTGCACAAAGAAAGTGTCAACGCGGAATTTCACAAGTCCTATACCGATCTTTTAGAAAAGTGCCGATCTTTTGGTATTATTTTGTCCGGAATGTCCTACAGAACCAATATATCATCAAAAAAGTGCCGATTTTTATATGAGATCGGTAACCATTTACAAAAATCTACTTAACAACTCTAATACACTGTAATAACACCGGTTGTTTTTCATTGGAATGTCAAGAGCAAAGTGTTAAAGTTTAAATTCCATTGAAATTTAATTGGCACGCCTTCACTTTTAACTTGTCATTCATTTAACAAATATATATGTATATACATATATATTGGATATTTAGTGTGTAGTAAACCATCGAGTTGTGTATACACGTGTATTTATTTATAGAAAAAGACCTTGATTAACGTTTTAAAACATCCATTACCCCTGAATTATTATTATTTTTTTTTTTTCAGTTTGTTTATGCTTATTTTTATTTTTACTGATATATTTATATATCTATACATATTAAAGCTTAGAAGTGGGGGAAGAAATTCCTGAGGTAAGATCTAGCAATTATATATATAAAATAAAATTAATTAAAAAATTAATTTTTTTAATTTTTTTTTGGATCAAAATTTTTTATATATTTTTTAGTAATTTTAGATTATAGCTATATTTTATTAAAAAATGGTCATAAAAATATTCTGAGGGCAGTTTTGATAACTAGAATAAATTTCCTAGAAGATTCTTCAAAAATTTTTTGTAAAAAAAATTTTTTTACACACTTAAAATAAATTTTAAAAAATCTGCAAAAATTGGAAAAAAAAATTTTTTTTCTTTAAAAAAAAATTATTTTTTCTCATAAATTTTTTTTTCAAAATTTTTTTTTTTAATTTAAAATTTCAAAAATTGGGAAAAAAAAAATTCTTTATTTTTAAGATAAAAAATTATTTTTCTTAAAAAAAAAAATTACTTCATTTTTTCTCAAAAATTTTTTTTTCGAAAAAATTTTTTTTTTTTTTTTAAACTTTGTTTAAATTTACTATAAAAAAAAATAATAGTAAAAAAACTTACCGTCCCAATTCTTCTTGCAATTCATAATTACTATTAAATTCATCACGCCGCACCGTAACATCTTTATAAGGAAACGCTGGTTCAATTTCTAAAGAATTTTTTCAATTATTATTATTATTATTACTTAAAAAAAAAAAAATCACATTAAATTTTATTGCAAAAAAAAATTATAATAATTACCACCAACGGGATCACTTTCGTCAACGTGAATCATGATTAATAAATTAATATCCCGAAGAAAAATTAATTACCGAGCCATTTTGATGCCAAAATAAATTCCGAACAAATTGGACGAATTAATTTAATCGGGGAATATTAATTAATATACGACTGTCAAATAGATTTATTAATCAAGGTAGATGATTTACAATTTAATAAATTTTGAGTATGTAAAAGCGAGTGTTAACTTGCCCGCGAGTCTCAACGCGACAGACGGAATTAGAATTTGTCCGACGACGGGATTCAGCCCGTGGATTCTTAGCTCACGTGACTCATTTCTTTACTATATATATATTTAATAAATATATCGACATACATTTCTTACTATATGAATCGATCCAAATGTAAAAACATTGAGTATTATCTCGTTAATATTTATTATTATTTAAAAAAAAAATTTTTTTTAAACGGAATTTTCTAACTAATTCTACTAGTAGTAGCGTACCTAATAAAAATAATAATAATTGGCGCATGATTTCTTCCTATACTCTTCGAGACCTTTCATTTGAGTACCCACATCAATTTTTCATATATTTCATATATTTATATTTATCATATATATGTATATATGAAAAATATATCAAAAATGCATGTGGGTACTCAAATGAAAGCTCTTGATGATTGTAGGATCAGGATGAGCTTATATCTTTAAAAATGTCAATATTTAAGAAAGTACAGTGCAATTTAAAAATATTCATTATTTAATAAAGCAAATTTTTGATTATTGATAGTTCACAAGTCAAGGCAGTCACATAGTGACTGCAAGGTTGCTAGTGTTAATGTAAATAATTAATTCATTATTTCTTAACCATATTATTCTACTAAGTACTGTCTCCAATAAAAATAATAATAATTTGCATGATTTTTTACGATACTCCCGATCGTCGGCATTATTACAACTTTCAAGGCATCTCTGTACAAAATCGGCAATAGTTACCGATCTGATACGGAAATCGGCACTTTTTTTTCGATAAATCGGTTCTACAGGCCATCCCGAATCCAAAGATACCAAAAGATCGGCACTTTTCAAAAATATCGGTAAGGGACTTCCGAAATTCAAAATCATCCAGAAAAAAATCACCTTCCAAAAATTTTTTTTGGATCCCTTCTTTCTCTGCTTAATTTCCATCAAACTCGACGTTATTATACATCATTTCACGCGGAATTTCACAAACTATACCCTCAGATTATCAGTTTTGGAAATAAAAATTTTTTAACACTAAAATTCAACTTTATTTGTTGAAAATTGAAAATAACCAAGAAGGTTATTATTTTTCACCGATGGAATTAAAATATTTCTAGCAAAATAATTAACGTCCAGATTATTCACGATCTAGTCAACAATTAAAGTGTCTTGTGACAAATTAGCAGATAATTGTCGATCGTACCAGAACATGATTATCAGCGCTTATAAACACCGATAAGCTTTTAAAATTGTCACTTTTTGTGTCTCAATTTAAATAAATTTTTATCCGTTCTAATGGAAGTTTCTTCTGAAGATCGTCTTTCCAAATTCAACAACGCGCTTCTTGAAATTTCCAAGTATGCGTCGTTCCAGACTCTCATAAAACTCCGCTTCGTCAACGTCAGCTGGAGGAACACAATAGAAGGTTTGGATCTTTGGAAGTCGCTAATTTTTAAATCTCCAGAAATAAGGCCGTGGGTGAATCAATTTTTCGGAATGTACCATCCAGACTTGAGCAGCGATTCATATAAAAATTTACCTAACCACATCTACGCAAGGCTATACGTCTCCTTTTTGTCATAAAAGCGTCTAGGTGCGGACCTAAAAATTTCGAGCTAGATTATATAGATCGTCCTGTAGACAGTCGAGAAAATTGGATCGCCAGTGACTCATTTGGTAAGCAACAAATTAATATTTTTTTTCATTAGATGCTTTTTTTTAATTAAGGTAAAAGACCCCATTAGTGGCACCTTTAACCCCTATTAGGAATAAAAATTAAAAATTTTTTTGATCTAAAGGTCTTAAATTAAAGATTAGAAATAATATATTCATTATTGAAATTAATGATTTCATTAATTGAATAAGTACCAAAATCAAAGAAAGTGTCAGTAATGGGGTCCCCGCCACTAATGGTGTCTTTTACCCTATTTGTGTATTTTAAAAATCTGTACGGATCATTTTTTTGCAATATCTCAAAAACTACTTTGCCGATTTTCATAAATATTAATAGGTGTCTTCTTAAGAGCCTACAGATTCATATTAATTAACAATTTCATTAATTTTCTGATTAATTAAACGATAAAATGGATCCATACATAATGATTAATTATCTGTACGGATCATTTTTTTGCAATATCTCAAAAACTGCTTTACCAATTTTAATAAAATTTAATAGGTGTCTTCTTGAGAGCCTACAAAATCATATTGATTAACAATTTCATTAATTTTTTAATTAATTTAATGATAAAAAGGATCCGTACATAATAATTGTAAATCTGTACGGAACGTTTTTTTGCAATATCTCAAAAACTACTTTGCCGATTTTTATACAAATTTATAGGTGTCTTCTTTAGAGCCTACATAATCATATTAATTAACAATTTCATCAATTTTTTGATTAATTCAAGACTAAAAAGGAGCCGTACATAATTATAAATAATCTGTACGGATCGTTTTTTTGCAATATCTTAAAAACTATTTTGCCGATTTTTATAAAAATTTGTAGGTGTCTTCTAAAGAGCCTACAGAATCATATTAATTAACCATGTCATTAATTTTTTGATTAATTTAATGATAAAAGGGATCCGTACATAATAAATGTAAATCTGTACGGATCGTTTTTTTGCAATATCTTAAAAACTACTTTGCCGATTTTTATAAAAATCAATATGAGTCTTCTTAAGAGCCTACCGTATCATATAAACTAACAATTTCATTGATCACTTCATTAATTACATCAATAACACTAATTTTAAATTCGTACAACTTTCAGCGAACTATTTAGCATGCGTCTCAAGAACCAAAGAGCTATCAATTTTCGACATCAATACCTTGCAACTCTTCGCGGGCCCTATCAACATCCCAGAGCACCTTTCTAAAGAAGAGAACCAGGGCCTCAACGACATCTGGCTCAAAATTTGGCTACCTGGCGCATCTTCGGCTTCTGGAGAATTAAAATCACTCAAGACCCAAAAATTTTTTTTTATCGTCACAGGATTGTACTTTACATTTATTTGGGACGTCGAAAGCCTAAAACGTGTTTCGTCGCCAAAAGTAATCAAGGAACTCAGTAGTGAACCGATTTACTTCGCAAAACATGTTCAGTAAGTTTTCTCAACAAAATAATAAATATTTATAAGGTTAAAAATATCAAAATAATTTTTTTTTTAGTCGCGGCTACACCAGCGACATCTTCATCGAATTTGTCGACGATTGGCACGGAACACAAGTCAAATTTGTGAGGTTAATTTGGGACTCTAGGAGACAGAAAATTAGTGCGCAGAATGTTCTTGCCTTAAAAAATTCCCGGCCCGATGAGATGCGAAGTTACGAGCTTCGAGATTTCTACGCAGAAAACACTAAAGTAAGGTTTTTTTGAGGTTTATTGTCTTCTTTTCAAGATCTAGGTACTCTCTTTAGCCAGAAAAGTGGTTCTGCGCATGCGCAGACCCCATGTTCCACCATGGAACCGGAGGAACTATCTACGCGCATGCGCAGAAGGTTAGGAGGCAGAAAGTTTAAAATTAAGAGCTTTGAAATGTTTTAGATAATGCTGCTGTTCAAATATTCGGAGAAGCTTTATGTTACTGAGGTGGATGTTCCAAAAAAAAGTGATGATTTCATAGAATTTGATATTGATGACGAGGAACATTGTAAGCTGGTATTTGAGAACGCGGATAAGGAATTTATTTCGACGGCTAAGATTCAAAATTCTGATGTTATTATTGCGCATAATGGTGAGTAAAAGAGAAAATAGGGGAATTTTTAAAAAGTTTTTAGAATCTGTACCGATCGTTTTTTTGCAATATCTCAAAAACTACTTTGCCGATTTTTATAAAATTTAATAGGTATCTTCTTAAGAGCCTACATAATTATATTAATCAACAATTTCATTAATTTTTTGATTAATTCAATGATAAAAAGGATCCGTACATAATAATTGTGAATCTGTACGAATCGTTTTTTTGCAATATCTTAAAAACTACTTGACCGATTTTAATAAAAATCAATAGGTATCTTCTTGATAATATACAGAATTATTTTCACATAAATTTTTGGTAATTGTTCAATAAATTACAGATTAAAACTGTTTGTTCTCTTTATTTAAAGGATACTCTTTCCGTGTTGTGGTGAGAAAGAAGTCTACTAACCAAGGTGGATATGAGCTTACAGAATATTATTTACTTTGTCGGCAAAAGTTCAGCTCTATAGTCGCCATTGAATACAAATTCAACAATTTGTTCATATTCGACGCAACAGGTAGAGTATTTTACAATATTGCAATTAAAAATTGTAATTACCGAGAAGGCACATAAATATATAATAATTATTTTTCTAGGTTCTTCGGAAGTCTACAAGCTTGAAAATGCTAGTAGCTTTCAGAGGATAAATTTTAGTACCGATCGAGTCACTCAAATAAAAAATAAAAAATTTTTTATGGATCCGAACATAAAATTGGTCTTAAAAAATGGAGCTCCATGCTTGGCTCTCGTGAGCACTCGAATAATTTTGTTTGCAAAATTGTAATTTATTAAAAATAATAAATTATTTATTATTAAAAAGTTCTTAAGTTTATTTTTTAATAATTTTTGGTTAAAATCGGTTGTAGTTAACGATCTGATATAGAAATCGGCACTTTTTTTTGACATATCGGTTCCTTAGATCATCCTGGAACTAAATGTACCAAAAGATCGGCACTTTTCCAAAAGATCGGTATAGGACTTGTGATGTTCCGCGTTGGAACCGTCTTGGAACTAAAGTTCCAACCGCGATAACTACTAAACTATTGGAGTTACAAAAAAAAGTTTCGGACAAAATTTGTAGTACTTTTGATTCTCTACAAAAAAGGACTCATAATTTTTTCGTATTTTCAATATTTTACCCAAAAATTCACTCTTAAAATTTATAACCAACAAATTTTGAACTTTATGAATTTTTGTAATTTTCAGTGAAAATTTTGACTTAAATATTGAAGTTACAAAAAAAAAGTTTGGGACAAAATTTTTAGGAAATTTTATTTCCTACAAAAAATGTCTCATGTTTTTTTCCACATTTCCAATAATCTCCCTATAATTTTTCATTTTTATTCTCAAAACCAAAAATTAAATCGAGAAATTTTTCAGCTTAATCTATTTATTATTAAAAATTATTACAAATTCTATGGTAATTCATCTTCATGAAACGGTTTATATCCTTTTGAAAATCCACTTGTTCCCGGACCGTCTGATCTTGACGAAGAAAGTTTTATTTTTGGTATGTCTTTACAATAATTCGTTGGCCTTAATTCATCTGTAATTTTATTAAAATAAATTTTTATTTTAAAATAATAATAATAATAATTTTATACAGACCTCTTTTTCTGGTAGTGACTAATAAATAAACCGCAATACTGACGACAATAACCATTATAACCATCAGAGTCCGCAAAAGATTAACTTCAAATTGACTTTCCCAATAATAGTCATTTTTTTGAACTATTAATTCCACGGTATGGACGTAAAATTTTGAATGGTTGCTTATATTTCGAGATACACAGTGATAAAATCCGGATTCTCGCGTTGATACACTCTGAAAGTTAAAAAAAAAATTTATTAAAGTTTCCTACAAATTTTGTATCAAACTTTTTTTTGTAACTTTAATAGTTTAAAAGTTATCACTTTTTCAAAATTTGGGGTATTTTTAATACCGATAAAAAATTCAAATTTTTCATTATAAATTTTAAAATGAAAATTTTGGGAAAATTATTGGAAATATGGAAAAATCATGAGACATTTTTTGTAGGAAATAAAATTTCCTAAAAATTTTGTCCCAAACTTTTTTTTGTAACTTCAATATTTAAGTCAAAATTTTCACTGAAAATTACAAAAATTCATAAAGTTCAAAATTTGTTGGTTATAAATTTTAAGAGTGAATTTTTGGGTAAAATATTGAAAATACGAAAAAATTATGAGTCCTTTTTTGTAGAGAATCAAAAGTACTACAAATTTTGTTCAAAACTTTTTTTTGTAACTCCAATAGTTTAGTAGTTATCGCGGTTGGAACTTTAGTTCCAAGACGGTTCCAACGCGGAACATCACAAGTCCCATACCGATCTTTTGGAAAAGTGCCAATCTTTCGGTACATTTAGTTCCAGGATGATCTAAGGAACCGATATGTTAAAAAAAAAGTGCCGATTTCTATATCAGATCGTTAACTACAACCGATTTTTTCTAATCTTCAATATTTTGGCCAGAATTTGAATTCTTATGATCTTTAAATTGAAATTCCAACATAACTATTGAAATTAAATTTTCTACAAAAAAAGGTCTCTTATAATTGCACGCCTCATAGCGCGAAGCGCATGAGGTTGTGCTTTATACTCGACTCGTGAAGGTCAAGTAATTTCGTGATCTTTAAATGCCTCTATCACAACCATATTACACTTATACAATAATATAAGTAGATGTACACCGAGAAAACACTTAAATTAAACCATCTTTTACTTTCTAAAATCATTTCATGTTGCTATTTTGAAAAAAAAAAAAACGTTTTGAAAAAAATTTTACGTGGACGTTCTGATGTCACTCCATTTTGGATGTAACAACGATTACTCCCGAACAAATTGATATTTCAAAACCGGACCTTTTTTATTAGTTTAAGAATTCAATTAACTGGGTCCGTATTTAATATCGGTAGCCTAGTTTACATATTTTTTTTTTAAATTGAATTTTTATTAAAATTCACTACGATACAACCGTACAAAGACAAACGAACTTTTCTTATTTGTCACGTGAAAACTATGACAAGAAAAAAGGGCGCCGATATTTAAAAAAAAAAATAAAAAATATGTAAGAAATTACTTAATTATCTTTTTTTTGATCAATTACACAATTTCTTTTTTTCTTAAAAAATTAATGAGCGTTATGAGGCGTGCACTTTTGGATTTTCCAAACTATTTTTCCAGAATCTGACCTTGAACCTTAACACACCCTATCGAGTTAAACAATAAATACCACTTTGACCCAAAAATTGGACGGTCCGAAATTGGGCCAGTCCCAATTTTGAAACTCGCGAGAAACTTACCCAAATAAACAATTTTCCGGTCAATACTTGGTAATTATACTTGTCAGTATCAAAAAAACTGTCCGGACCGACGATATTGTTATTATTATCAATTACTTTCCAAAACATGAAACGATGATTGTCGTCATTGCTGCGACAAAGTAACGTCGCTTGTTGGCCCGCGACGGCCCGCGCTACACTAGTCAATCCATTTATTTCAAAAACTAGCGAACTAATTGTTAAAAAAAGGAAAATTAATGAATAAATATTCATTTGGGAAGTTGTTTTGTTGAAGATCTTTGAGAAGACTAAAAAATTTTGTTGATCTTTAGTGTTCAAATGTCATTAGAGATTATACAAGAATAAAGTATTCTAGGCCGTGTTTATTTATTTAAAACTTGGCTGTCATTGGCTCCAATCCAAGGTTCTTAAATTAAAAATTTATACTATTATTATGTAACTTACGAATTATTGACCACCGGAAAATTTATTTGGGAGTTTCATTCAAAGAAAATATTATTTTAGTGGAAATTTTTAAGCGCCAGGACTTTATTTTATTTAATTGAAGCTATTTAAAGGAGAAAAATTTTTTATTCTGCTTGGAAATTATTTCTTAAGTCCTGGATTAAGAAAAAATGAAGTTTTTTGATTTTTTGGAATTATAAATTAGGTGGATAATTTTTATTGAAGAAATTTAGGATGAAAAAAAAAATGAAATTTTGAGATAGAAAATAAGAAAAAATTTTTCCGTGTAAAAAAAAAATTTTTCTCAAAGAGTTTTAAGATTAGGATCCTGAACGTAAAGAAATTTAGGACATTTTAATGACAAATTTATGATATCGAGCCGAAAATAAATTCAGATTTTAAAAAAATTTTGTCGCCATTTTTTGGAGAAAAAAATATTATAAAAAGTACTTTAGCGAAATTTTTAGGACACTTTTGTAACGATTTAAAAACACTATCACATCGATGACGATTTTAGAAAATTCGAGGTGTCGTTAGATTTTTTTTATTTAAAATTTTCTCTTGTTTATTTTCTTAAATTTCGACCTGAAAATTATGACTAAATTTAAGTTAATTGTGTCTTGAATTTTGTCGTAAATTAAGCCGTTTTTTTTTTTCTTAAAATTGAGACAAAATTATAATTAATTTTGCTTTGTTTTTTGTCTTAAATTTCATCTTAAAAATTAAGAGAATTTTATCTTAATTTTTGTTTTGAATTTTGTCAAGAATTTTGCTTTATTTTTTTTTTTTTTTTTTTTTTTTTTTTTCTTGAATTTGATCTTAAAATTAAGACAAAATTTGAGTGAATTTTATCTTAATTTTTGTCTTGAATTTTGTTAAAAATTTTGCCTTATTTTTTTTTTCTTTAATTTGATCTCAAAAATTTAGACAAAATTAAAGTTAGCTTTATCTTTAATTTTATCTTAATTTTTGTCTTGAATTTTATTTAAAATTTTTTTTTTTTTCAAGGATTTTTACTTACCTTTTGTCTTAAATTTAGTCTTATTTTTTGTCTTAAATTTTGTCTTGAAATTTTGTCTTAAATTAAGAGTAAAAAAAAAAATTACCCATATTAAAAAAAAAAAGTTCTCAATATCTAGAATGTTGAATTAAATGAACAAAAACATCAATAGTCAACGCGGGTAAAAGCACCCAAAATGGACTAAGAACAGCTTTAGCAGGAAGATAAAGATAAGGTGCCTCCAATTTCAAGCAAATAAGAATTTGGACGCTTAATTTCAGCAAGACCGCCAGCATGTGCCATCCCTAAAAAATAAAAAAAAACTTAATAATAAATTCTAGATTGACATCCTCAATCATGAAAAAATAAATTACCTTGCGTCTCAAACAATTGGTGCTGTTATGATTATTCTTGCAGTGCGACACCATATTGAAAATGATGTAGATCAGTAAAAAGCAGTCGTACAGCCACATTGGGATGAAAACAATGAACCAGTTCCATAATATTCGCTGGTCCAGTCTTAGCACCAGCAGAATAAGGAATATTAATAATTCAAACCAGGTAAATAATGCGCGATGTAACACTGCCATTATTTACATATTTCAATTATTATTTAATTAACAACTGTGTTTTTTAATTTAGTATTCTTTGTTGTTGCCTTGAATCCACCGTCGCCATTTGCAATTTGCAGTTTGCGCATGCGCAGTTGAAAGATGTGGATTTTTACACCCAGCGCAGTCTGGCGGGAAATAAATTCAAATTTAAAATTTATTTAAAAATAAATTTTTTATCTACTAAATTAATATATCTCCTAAAATATTGGAAATAGATATATAGTATAAAAACGTTTTTTAAAGGAAATTTCCTAAGCTACAATTTTAGTCCTAAGATTTTTTCCTAAAATCAATATTTCAAGAGTTATAGCCACTTTTATAATACCTAAATAATTAATAGGAATTGATTTTTCATTTTTCATTTTGTCGGAACTACAAAAGTGACTATACCTCCTAAAATATTAAAGATAGACCTATATAACATAAACATTTTTTATAGGAAATTTTCTAAACTACAATTTTGGATTCCTATGATTTTTTTCTAAACTCAATATTTTAGGAGTTATGATCTACTTTATGGTACATAATCATAATTTTTTTATTTTTTACTATAGGAACTACTATAGTTACTATATCTCCTAAAATATTAAAAATAGCCTTATAGTATAAAAACATTATTGATAGGAAATTTTCTAAGCTACAATTATATTTTTATAAATTTTCCCTCAACTCATTATTTTAGGAGTTACAGCCATTTTTTTAATAATTCAATAATAATTGTTCATTTTTCATTTAGTTACTATTTAAATTAATATATCTCCTAAAATATTAAAAATAGACCTATAGTATAAAAACATTTTTTATAGGAAATTTTCTAAGCTACAATTTTGGATTCCTATGATTTTTTTCTAAACTCAATATTTTAGGAGTTATGATCTACTTTATGGTACATAATCATAATTTTTTTATTTTTTACTATAGGAACTACTATAGTTACTATATCTCCTAAAATATTAAAAATAGCCTTATAGTATAAAAACATTATTGATAGGAAATTTTCTAAGCTACAATTATATTTTTATAAATTTTCCCTCAACTCATTATTTTAGGAGTTACAGCCATTTTTTTAATAATTCAATAATAATTGTTCATTTTTCATTTAGTTACTATTTAAATTAATATATCTCCTAAAATATTGGAAATAGATATATAGTATAAAAACGTTTTTTAAAGAAAATTTCCTAAGCTTCACTTTTAGTCCTAAGATTTAAAATAATAATTATAATTAAAATTTTAATAAAATAAAATTTTATTTAATTTAATGAAGAAAATTTTTTATTGTAAAAATTAATTAATTAAAATAAAAATAGAAATTATTTGACACTAGAAATTTTTAAAAAATTTTATTACTAATAAAATTATTGCAAAAAAATGTAATAAAAAAATTTCGTGTCAAAAAAAAATTATTTTAAAATTTGATTTTTTTTTTTTCTAATATGTCAATTTTTATTTGTTAAAAAAATTCTAAAAATTATTAAATAAAAAATTGACAGCTATCAACTGGCTTTATAATTAAAAATACAGGTATAAAATATAAATAGAAAATATAATAGTCTAGATATATATTTATATTTAAAATAAAAAAAATAAAAAAATACTTACCACTTGCTAAAAATTTTCTACAGTATATAAGCAAGAAAGTGCGAATTTAACGCAGACGCGCTAGATAGATAATTTTATTATTATTCTAGCTCCTAACCTCATTTGCGTGTCGCCCGACAACTGACAAAATAAAATCAATTTATCTGGACCCTGGAAAAATTATAAAATATTTATTTAATTTAATTTAATTTAATACTGAAATAGTTGAAAAAAAAAAAAAATACTTTTTTATTATTGATATTTATTACAATAATTTTAATTGTCATTTTTGGAATTGCAAAAAAAAGTGAAATATGATCAATGCACGTGTAAGTTTTCTTTTAAATTTTGTTTTAGATTATTAATTATAATTATTATTTACTAGAATGAAAATTTCGAAGTTTGTAATTACAATTAATTTGATAATTTTTTTTTAATAAAAAAAATTATGTCAAAAAAAATTGACAAATTTTAATAAATTAAAAATACAATTTTTAATAAAAAAATTTTTTTTTTAAGTAACTTAAAAAATTGCAAATTTAATTAGAAAAACATTAAAATTTTTACATGAAAAAATTTCTTTTTTTTTTATTAAAAAAAAAAAAATTGTTTTAATTTCATTAAAAAATTACAAGCTTACTTAAAATTACAAGCTTACTTTTTTTAACTAGAAAAATTGCAAGCTTAAAAAAATATTAAAATTAAAAAAAAAATTTTTTAATTAAAAATTGCATAGTAGTTAGTATAATCCAGATTATACTGAGTGATATCTGGATTATACTCATTGTAATCTGGGATGATAGCCAGTGTCATCTTGTTCTTTCCGTGTACTTGAAAAAAAAAAAAAATTTATCTAACTTACTTATAAATTTAATTTTTTACTTCCAGGTACTAGCAGTAGTGGGAGCAGTAGGAACCTTGATAATAGGAGTAACAATCCACTACCTACTCCGAAGAAAGAAGCGTGCGCCAGTCCTGCTAGAAGACCCACTGAAGAAATACAGCCTGCCTTTGATAGAGAAGCAAATAATCAGCCATGACACCAGAAGATTCAGGTTCGGACTTCCCTCTAGCAGCCACGTCCTAGGACTGCCCATAGGCCAGCACGTCCATCTGAACTGCCAGGTCAACGGGGAGCTGGTGATCCGCGCCTACACCCCGGTGTCCAGCGATGACGACCTCGGGTTCGTCGACCTGGTTGTCAAGGTCGGTCTCTAAAGCTAAAGCTTGTCCCTGGTCTATATTAATCCTGGTTCATTTCTTTGGACGCTAATCTTGAATCTTGTTTTATTTCAGGTATACTTCAAGAATGTCCACCCCAAGTTCCCCGAGGGCGGAAAGATGAGCCAGTACTTGGAGGCGATGAAAATTGGAGACACTATTGACTTCAAGGGACCTTCAGGCAGGCTTGTTTATCATGGAAAGGGCAACTTTGCTATTAGATTACTTAGAAAGGAACCTCCTAGTCAGTACCATGTTAAAAAGGTAATTTTTTTTATTAAAAATAACTTTTTTTTTGTCTATATCTTAATTTTGAAGCTTCTAATCAACTTGAAAACCATCCCAGTCGACTCAGAATACTCGAATTAATAAGAAAAGTGCTTTCGCACATTGAAATTACTCCAATTTAACCCGAAAATTACAATCCGTACATCCGTACAGAACAATGTACGGATTTACAAATTGGCCGTATCTCGGCTCCTACTGAACTGATTATCAAAATTTTTTTTTTATATACTCCTTATAAAATTCTTAGTAGCCCACAACGTTAATTTTTCAAAATTTGGCCTGTAATTTAATTTTGAAGCTTCTAATTTACTTAAAAACCATCTCAGTTAACTCAGAATACTTGAATTGACAATAAAAATGCTTTTGTACATTGAAATTATTTAAATTTACCGAGAAATCAATGATCCGTACATCCGTACTAAATAATTTACGTATGTACGACTTCGTTATATCTCGGCACCAACTCACCCGATTTAAAAAAATTTTTTTACCGGCAAATTATACACTAAAATAAATAAATTTGAATATTAGTCACAATTTTAAATAAAAAATTTTTAATTCGGATTTTAGGAAAAATTTTCAAAATTTCGGTCCTTAGGTTAATTTTGATGTTTCAAATTAACTTGAAAGCCATCTCAGTCGACTCAGAATCCTTAAATTAGCAAGAAAAATGCTTTTGCGCATTAAAATTACTCAAAATTAACGGGAAAATTACAATCCGTACATCCGTACAGAACAATGTACGGATTTCAAAATTGTCCATTACTCAGCTCCTACTTGCCTGATTTTCAAATTTTTTTTTTTGATTTACTCCTTATGAAATTCTTGATCGACTCCACTGCTCACTTTTTTAATTTCCAGGTTGTGATGATCGCCGGAGGAACTGGAATAACCCCAATGCTGCAACTTATCCGAGCGATCTGCAAAGACCCCCAAGACTCAACCCAAGTCTCTTTGCTCTTTGCGAATCAAACGGAAAAGGATATCTTGCTGCGCGAGGAACTGGAACAGGTTCTCAAGGACTACCCGGAACAGTTCAAGCTTTGGTACACTCTCGACTCAGCCGGAGACACCTGGAAGTACTCCACGGGGCACATCAACGCGGACATGATCAAGGAACATATGTTTCCTCCAGCAGATGACACTATTGTCCTGATGTGCGGCCCCCCACCTATGATCAATTTTGCCTGTACTCCTAATCTCGATAAACTTGGTTATGATCCCAAGCTCAGATTTGCTTATTAATTTTAATAAATTTTACTGTCATTTATTTCTAATTTATTTTTATTTTAATTGGAAATTGTTGATTAGTATTAATAGATCGTTTTAAATATTAAAAATTTTTATAAAATATTGTGAATTGTTCAATTAATTCAATTAATTATTATTAAGGTAAAAGTACCAATTATTGACACTATAAGAGATATTTAAATAGATTTTTAATTAAGATATGTGAACTGTTGACATTTTTTACGATATAAGCTCATTCTGACGTTACACTCATTAAGACCTTTCATTTGAGTACCCACATCAATTTTTCATATATTTTATAAATTTATATATATTATATATATGTATATATGAAAAATATATCAAAAATTCATGTGGGTACTCAAATGAAAGCTCTTGATGAGTGTAATAATGGTATGAGCTTATATCTTTAAAAATGTCAATATTTAAGAAAGTACGGTACAATTTTTTTTAAATAATGTATAAAACAATTGTTATTAATATTGTAGATAAATAAGATTTTAAATAAATTAGCGTGTCAATAATTGAATCCCTGTCACTAATTGGTGACAGAATTTGTAATTAGCGCTACCTGTTGGAAATTTTTAATACTAATTTAAAAAAATTGTGATTAAGAGGGGTAAGTCGGTCCTATTTTACCGACCTTCTGAATTTTAGAATCTTAATTATTATTATTGTTATTATTGTATTAGTCAACACAAGACGCGACATTTACTGGGCGCGACCAATAATGTTTTATTAATATTTTTTAAACAATTATTAATAAATTATTTTTATTTATTATTAATGATATAAGTTAATTGTTTAAAAAAAATTGATATTAAATATTGAAAAAATAAAAAAAAAATGATTAAGCGTTGTGTGTTTTTGTTGTTAATTTTTGGATTATTAAACAGACAAGGTAATTATTTAATTTTTTTTTAAGATTCTTTAATAATAATAATAATAATATTGCTTTTTTTTAATTAGTATCAGCGGCTGGAGGATGGCTGCTCTGTTACAAGTGTAACAGTAACCAACCAGGGTGTGGAACTCCCTTTAATTGGTTGTGGTACTGGGGAGAGTACTGTCCAGAACCTGATGATGTGTGTGTTAAAGTTATAGAACGCAAAGGAGGTAACAATATTTGGTTTAAAAGTTTTTTTTTGTAACTTTAATAGTTCAAAAGTAATCACTTTTTCAAAATTTTGGGTATTTTTAATACCGATAAAAAATTCAAATTTTTCATTATAAATTTTATAATAAAAATTCTGGGAAAATTATTGGAAATATGGAAAAATCATGAGGCATTTTTTGTAGGAAATAAAATTTCCTAAAAATTTTGTCCCAAACTTTTTTTTGTAACTTCTATATTTAAGTCAAAATTTTCACTGAAAATTACAAAAATTCATAAAGTTCAAAATTTGTTGGTTATAAATTTTAAGAGTGAATTTTTGGGTAAAATATTGAAAATACGAAAAAATTATGAGTCCTTTTTTGTAGAGAATCAAAAGTACTACAAATTTTGTCCGAAACTTTTTTTTGTAACTCCAATAGTTTAGTAGTTATCGCGGTTGGAACTTTAGTTCCAAGACGGTTCCAACGCGGAACATCACAAGTCCTATACCGATCTTTTGGAAAAGTGCCGATCTTTTGGTACATTTAGTTCCAGGATGATCTAAGGACCCGATATGTCCAAAAAAAAGTGCCGATTTCTATATCAGATCGTTAACTACAGCCGATTTTCTGTAAAAACTTAATTTTTCAGCCGAGACTTTGATAACTCGTGACTGCTTGAGCTCCCTGAAAGACTTCCGTACCGATATACCTGCCGATCACTACGAAGGTTGTCGTCCAGCTGCCAAGGACGTTCGCCTGGGCCACTTCGTCAACAACACCATCAAAGAGCTGGATATTCACCGGGACTACTACGATGAAGTCAACTGGTGCTTCTGCTACTTCGACAATCGGTGCAATTCTGCAACCGGTTTGCAGTCAGCGAAGTTTATCATTCCTGTAGCTTTACTCTCTTTAATTTACAAATTTAGTTATTAATTTTTTTTTATATTTTTTACAAATTTTTTTAATTTTTAGACACTAGCCGTCCTTTTTAATAGATCTTAAATAATTGTAATTAAGAACAAACATACCGTCCAAAATGTACAAGAATTTTATATAAATATACATTTATATATATTTATAATTAAAATGTGTTTTTATTTATTTTTAAACGGCGTAAAAAAATTCAATAAAGAAATAAACAAACTAATTTATTGAGATAAAACAAAAAAAAATTTTTTTAAACTTAATCATTTAAAATAAAATTAAAATATTTTTCATAACATTCCAAAACCTTTTGAATAATTTATCGCTTTTAAAAGCCGATCTTGAAGTTTTTCCATTGATGAGTAGTCTGGTAATAATAGTGTGTTAAAGCATGTGTGCGCTATGGGTAACCTGGAACAAAAAAATTTTTTTTTTAAAATAGAAGGTAGAATGTTAAAGAGGATAAAATTCCGAGTAAAATGATATATAATAACCCCTACTTTGGTCAAAGTTAACTTGAGAAAAAACGAATTTCAAAAATAATGTTCCTGGTACCGATTTTTAATGTTTAACTCCGGAAGTCTCTTACCGATATTTTTGAAAAGTGCCGATCTTTTGGTATATTTGGGTCCAGAAGGGTCAATAGAAACGATTTTGAGAAAAAAAAGTGCCGATTTCTAGGTCAGATCGGTACTTATTAACGATTTTGTATAGCGTCTTCAGGGATGTTGGTTGGAATTCTGGGGAAATGGTTGGAGACATTGAAAAATTGTAAGAGACCTTTTTTTGTAGGAAATTTAATTTCCTACTAGTTTTATTTAAAATTTTTTTTGTAACCTCAATAGTTTAGTTAGAATTCCAATTTAAAGTTTTTGGGAATTAATAATGTTCAAAATTTCTTTATTATAAATCTAAGAATTAAAATTCTAGGAAAATGATTGGAGATACAGAAAAATCGTTGAAATCTTTTTTATAGAAAATTCAATTTCCTAAAAATTTTGTCCCAAAAAATTTTATCCGTTAGACAACTTATTGATTAAAAATTTTAATTAAAACTTTTTAAGAATTGATAGTCATCAAAATTTCTCAATCATGAATCTTAAAATAAAAATTCTGACTAAAATAATCGAGATATGAAAAAAATCATAAGAAACATTTTTTTGTATAAAATAAAATTTCCTACAAGTTATATCCCAAACTTTTTTTTTGTAACTTCAATAGTTTAGTAGTTATCAAGGTTTTAGGTTTAATTCGAAGAAAGTGTTAACACGAAATTCGGCAAGTCCCATACCGATCTTTTTGAAAAGTGCCGATTTTTTGGTACCATCGAATCCAGGATGATCTATAGAACCGATATATAAAAAAAAAAGTGCCGATTTCTGTATCAGATCGGTAACTACAACCGATTTTCTATTATAAACCCGTAAAATTGTTCTTTTTTATTCTAAAATTAACTATGATACATATAATAATAATAATAATAATAATAATAATAATAATTACCGATCAGAATCGGGTCCATGACGTGAAATGACCATCTTGAGCCTAGAGAGTCCTCCTACTGGAACTCTATCGCTTCCGGTGGTGAACTGCAGGAGGCGCCGCTGACTCTCGAGTGGAAGAGAGTGAGCCACTCGCCAGAAGTTCTTTATCGCCTCGCTCTCTACTGTGTAGCCGTCGTACTCCGTAGAGGCCTCTAGCTCCGCAAAGTCGAATACTTTAGAGCCGCAGACCAGCTGCTCGATCTCTTCCGGCCGGAAGAGAAGCCCTAAAGGGCTCTCATCAGTCACCATCTGGAACCCGTGGCGGAAAGCTTTGAATTGCCTAGCCACTGATTGGTTCAGGAGAAAATCTGCGTAAGAGTCAAGGAACTCCCGTTTGTTTTCTTGGTTCACGTATACTTCATCGCCATTTTCACATAATTCGTGGTATAAGACTGATCCAAATACGTCTCTGTAATTTATTATTATTATTATTATTATTATTATTATAAAAGAAAAAGTCTTTAATTAAATAAGATATCATGATATAGTTACTATAAAAATGGTCATAACTTTAAAATATTAATTTTAGAAAAAATTTATAAGAGACGAAAATTGTAACTTAGGAAATTTGCTATAAAAAATGTTGTTATACTATAGGGCTATCTGTTGGAATCATTGGCTCTTGCGTGTTATCATATCTACTCTCACTGTTCTATCATCATCACTATAGCATAAGAATACTATTCTACTAATTAGTCTGTTATAATAAACCATCAGGTATAGATGTATATTTAACGGCTCCTTGAAAACTACTTATTCACGTGAATTAGTATTCCACTAGAGATCCCAACAGGTTATGGGCCCAGCAACCTGGTTTGGGTAATGACGTAGACAACTAAAAGTAAGGTTTGAAGTTAATATAAGGGGTTTTAGTTAACTTGAAAAAGTAAAGTAAAGTAAAGCACGGTAAAGTGCATAAAGTCAAAGTAGAACTGTTGAGTAAAAATTAAAGTTGAAGTCAAGTTCCAGTACAGCATAATGAAATAAAGTTGCAGTGAAGTATCAAATCCAGAGTCAAATAAAGTCGCGGTAAGAGTTATAGTCAAGTCAGGTAGAAGAAATATAAATTAGAGAAGAAGTGGAGCTAAAAGACAAAGATCAGAATCGTCATCTCAGGATTACGGGGACAAGAATCCGGTTCGAGGTCATTATATCCATTGTAATAAAATCCAATGACAAAAATATTCAATTGAATTTTCGCGTGCTCATTATCATGATGATGATGATGATCATCATCATCATGATTATTATCATGATCATGATTATTATCATGATCATGATTATTATCATGATCATGATCATTATCATGATCATGATTATTATCATCATGATCATCATCATCATGAATGTTATCATGATCATGATTATTATCATTATCATGATCATTATTATCATCTGGACATTTTTACTTTGAATTTATTTGCAATTGGATATTATTGGATTGGACATTATTACCTTGGATTTTCTAACCGGTTTGTACATATTTATTTACAAATATGAATTATAACATTGGGATTAATTAACGTTGCATATACAGTGTAACCTCAACGAATTTTTCAAAATCCCCTAGAACTACCCATAAGAGTCTATGTAAAATATACCTTTATAATACGAATATATTTTTCAATCAACCTCACTATAACGAAAATTCAATTATTGCAAATTATAGATTGTCAGTCATTGCTGTTTGATCACGGTCGAAGAGGAAGAAGAGAATAGATGTAATTAAATATATATTCTTAAAAAAAGGTGATTTATCTGACGGTGTAGTTAAATCCATTACGGAGTTAGATTGTGCTTTGGATATAATTACTAACACTGGCAAGCAGACTAAAATAGATGACTTTTTTTCGAGTAAAGAAACGAAAAATGAAGATTAAGCTAATATCATTATTCTTCAATCATGTTATGTTTTCTTTAATACATTCTATGTATAATTTGTCTATTTTGTTAATTCTATGTCTATTTTGACTTTAAACTGATTTAAATGTTTTCAAATAAATAATTCTGCGTTTTGATTTAAATGAGTTGTTATTCATTGGTGGAAATTTTCTTACCTCGTTATAACAAATCGAGTTTAATCTAACCTCTGTATAACAAACCTCATGATAACGAATAATTTCTATTTCCCTTGAGTTTCGTTATATCAAGGTTGCACTGTATTTGTCTTTGGATATTTTTATGTTGGATTTATTTGCAATTGGATATTATTGGATTGGACATTATTTTTGGAGATTATTACCATGGACATTATTGCCTTGATATGCGCCCTTTTGGTATTTGAGTTGGTATAGAGATTCCAACACTATTTTCAATATTTTAGGAGACATATCAACTTAAATATTAAAAAAAAAAAAACTAAAAATAAAACATACTTGTAACCAACTCTAAAAGTCTGCATAAAAGTATCAGGCATATCATCTCCAGGATACTCCAACATCTCCGTAAGGGTGCGATAGAGCGTAGGGCTCCAGTCCTTGAGGTCCGCGAAGCACCCCTTCCTGCCTAAGAGCTTCCGGTAAACGACCATGGGAAAGCGGACGTCCAGGATGACGTTGTTGTAGATCGCGAGACCCAGGACGACTCCGATCAAGGTGAATTGGGCGTCGCTCTCGAAGGAGGTCGGGTTGAACCAGGTGGTCTGGGTCTCCTCCTGGGTAGTGAACATCCCGTAGTCCGGGTTGAAGATTTCCTCGACGACTAGCTGGAAAAATTCTTTGGATACTCCGCCTTCATCTACCCCCTGCTCGCCCTCGAATTCTACGACTAGTTGCTTTTTTAGGTCTGTTGGGTTCTCTGTTGCTATCATTTCGAGTTCCACTAGTGCGTCGTCTATTATATAGTCACGACGAACCTTAAAAAAATTAATTTGTTAAAAATTTTTTATTGAAAATGAAAATTATTGGAAATATGGAAAAATTATGAGATATTTTTTGTAGAAAATTTAATTTCCTACAAATTTTGTCTCAAACTTTTTTTGTAACTTTAATAGTTCAAAAGTAATCACTTTTTCAAAATTTTGGGTATTTTTAATACCGATAAAAAATTCAAATTTTTCATTATAAATTTTAAAATGAAAATTCTGGGAAAATGATTGGAAATATGGAAAAATCATGAGACATTTTTTGTAGGAAATAAAATTTCCTAAAAATTTTGTCCCAAACTTTTTTTTGTAACTTCTATATTTAAGTCAAAATTTTCACTGAAAATTACAAAAATTCATAAAGTTCAAAATTTGTTGGTTATAAATTTTAAGAGTGAATTTTTGGGTAAAATATTGAAAGTACGAAAAAATTATGAGTCCTTTTTTGTAGAGAATCAAAAGTACTACAAATTTTGTCCGAAACTTTTTTTTGTAACTCCAATAGTTTAGTAGTTATCGTGGTTGGAACTTTAGTTCCAAGACGGTTCCAACGCGGAACATCACAAGTCTCATACCGATCTTTTGGAAAAGTGCCGATCTTTTGGTACATTTAGTTCCAGGATGATCTAAGGACCCGATATGTCCAAAAAAAAGTGCCGATTTCTATATCAGATCGTTAACTACAGCCGATTTTCTCTAAAAATTCAAGCTTTTCATTTTGAATTTTAAAATGAAAATCATTGGAAATATGAAAAAATTATGACACTTTTTGTAGAAAATTGATTTTCCTACTAATTTTGTCTCAAACTTTTTTTGTAACTTTAATAGTTCAAAAGTAATCATTTTTTCAAAATTTGGGGTATTTTTAATACCGATAAAAAATTCAAATTTTTCATTATAAATTTTAAAATGAAAATTCTGGGAAAATTATTGGAAATATGGAAAAATCATGACACATTTTTTTGTAGGAAATAAAATTTCCTAAAAATTTTGTCCCAAACTTTTTTTTGTAACTTCTATATTTAAGTCAAAATTTTCACTGAAAATTACAAAAATTCATAAAGTTCAAAATTTGTTGGTAATAAATTTTAAGAGTGAATTTTTGGGTAAAATATTCAAAATACGAACAAATGAGTCCTATTATTTATATAATTTATAACAAACGAATTTTAATTTTTTAATAATTTGCTCAGTTAAGTTTTAAATTAAAAATTATTGAAATTTGAATTTTGGCGGGAGAATGACGTAGTTCTGGATCCGGTGCGCAACGCCATCTTACAGAAAATTTAAAAAACTCCACTTAATGCGGGAAAATTTGAATGTTAAATTTAATGAAATCACTGTTTAAAATTGTTAATTAATTTTAGATTAATATAATTAATAAATTTACAGATTTTGTGTAAAAAATTCTTACCTTAAGCCTTAAATATGGATTAGTAGGCTGCCCAACAAAAGACTGAAAGAAGCTCATCCTCCTCTCACTGTACATCCTTATCCTATTATCATAGTACAACCCGAGAGTCTTGGTGGCGGGGGTAAGTATGAACGCGTAGTTCATAAAACTGAATTTTTTTGGTTGCTCGCTCTTGTAGTACGCAAAGTCCTTGTCCATCTCGACAGAGTCACTGAGGAGCTCGTTGTAAAAATCAGTGAAGCTGATGAACGGCGTCCTGGCATCTAGTACCGAGATTCCAAGTTCCACCGCTAGAGGGTCTTTAGTAAAAGCGCTGGCGCTGGTGGAGGACCCGGCGGACAAGCTGGACAAGGAGACAATTCTGTTGGAGAAGAGTTTCTCGTTGTCGCTTCTAGGAGTTAGACTCTCCTTTTCTGCAACGCCATCTACCGGGTCCAGTTCTCCAGCGAGCATGCTGGCGTAGTACAAGATTTTCATGACTTTGGTCGGCGCTGTTATCGTGTCCGCGTCCTGGATGCAGTAGTCCCTGGAGAAGGTCCCGCCGATGACCTTCACCGTGATCAGCTGCTGGAGCGCCTGGAGAAGACTCACCAGCCGGGACTTGCAGTGTCGCGCCCACACTCGTGCTAACTTCGCCTGAGCTGCTACTGGCAAGCAGCTCACTGCTTTGCACAACATGTGGAACGCGTACTCCAGGTACTCTGAGGACCCCAGCACCGGGATCTCGAAGACTATCAGGAACACGTTTAATAAAGTGTCTGTTGAGTCCGCTGGCATTATTCCGAACACTCGTAAGTCAAGTTCTATGCTGTCCGCTAGGGTTACTAATGCATTGACTAGAGCTGACTCGAATTCTTCACCTGGAGAAAAAATTTTTTGGGTATTTTTTTGGTTACGAGGGCATCAAGACCTAGAGGGTCACAGCGCGAGTAAAATGAGTATAAACACTTGGGGGGTGGTTTGAAGATTTAAGGGAGAAAATCGCGTTAATAATTTGGGGATTGATCTATAGATCATTAATCAAAATTGACCTAAGAGGTATTGAGGCGCAAGACGGGTCATTTTGCTCGGGATTGTATGTAGAATAAAAGTGGACAATTTATTTTTTAGGAAAAAAAATTTTTGGGTCATTAATCGGGTTGTTAATGATTAATGAAAAAAAAATTTTAGTTTTTTTTTTAAATTGATTGTACTGCGACCTAGAGCTTTGAATTACGAGTAAAATGACCCCTTACACTCGATATTTATCTCAAAGGGTTCATTAAAAAAATCGCGTTAATAATTTCTGGATTGATCTATAGATCATTAATCAAAAATTGACCTACGAGCAATCGAGTCGAGTGACGGCTCATTTTACTCGGGATTTTAAGGAGATTGAAATTATCTGGATTATTATGCTCTTAGCGACGAATTAATCATTAAAACTGACCTGGTAGAGTCATAAGAGCCGCAAATGAGCGTCTTACAGCCTCTAAGTCGACAGTAGTGTCATCTACACTTGGCAAAGTCGGAGAAGGGTCGCTGCTGTCGATGTCCTTGTCTTCGCCTTGCAGGGATCTCACAGCTTCCTTACTGAGGTCTCTCGGCTGCTTTAGTAACGACTCGGGCGCTCGGTCAAGCAGCGCCGCCAATGGCGAATCATTTTTTTCGGCCTTCTGAAAACTCCGACCGAGCGCTTCCGAAGAAGAAAAAACTTCTCCTAAAGTTCTTATCAGCTTTGAGTAAGAGCCCTCTGATTTACAGTGCTCTATTATGTCCATAAGTTTTGATTCTGTTAGATATGGAATTTGTTTTCCTGAAAAATTCAATTTTTTTATAATAAATAATTACTGTAAAAAAAATATCAGATTTAGATTTTGGTATATTCTTTATTGGTTAAAAAAATATTTTAATAAAAGTTTGTAAAGTTTTTATAAAAATCTAGGGAATTTTTTAAGTATCTAGAGATTTTTTTTAATCTAGGGAATTTTTCTAATTTTTTTCACTTCAAATAAAATTTTTTTAGGGATTTTTATTGATCTAGGGAATTTTTTGTATCTAGTAACTTTTCTTCCATTTTAGTAGTTTTTTTCTAGGGTATTTTCCATTTCAATTTTTTTTAAACTTTTTTCTCGTGTAATGATTTTTTCCACTCTTCAAAACTTCTAGTAAATTTTTTTTCAATTTTTCTAGTGACTTCAAATCTAGGGAATTTTTCCTGGAAACTTTTGTTGCCTAGGGAATTTTTTCCGATAACTTTTCCTTGTAATTTTTACATTCCGTAAGATTTTCTTCAACCTGGGGAATTTTTCCTAGTAACTTTTTTAATCTAGTGACTTTTCTTCAACCTAGGGAGTTTTCCAAGTAACTTTTTCGATCTAGTGAACTTTCTCCACCCTAGGGAATTTTTCAAACTTCAAAAAATCAAAATTTTTCTTCAAAAATTTTCTCCTAGGGGATTTTTCTCGACTTTTTCTTAGTAACTTTTTCAATCTAGTGACTTTTTTCCACCCTAGAAAATTGTCCAAGTAATTTTAATCCATGATCATTTTTCCCCAAAAATTTTTAAATTCAAAATATTCCCTAGGGAATTTTCCTAGTAACTTTTTATATCTAGTGACTTTTTCTCCTAGGGAATTTTCCAACTAACTTCCATATATAAAATTTTTTTTCTTCAAAATTTTTCCCTAGGGAATTTTTCCTAGTAACTTTTTAAATCTAGTGACTTTTTTCCACCCTAGGGAATTTTCCAAAAAACTTCAATCTTTAAAATTTTTCCCCAAAAATTTTCCAACCCAAAATTTTCCCCTAGTAACTTTTTCAATGATACTTCTTAGCCTCCAAATATCTAAGATACATCGCCAAGACCATCAACTCAATAACCGGATCTTTGAGCTCCCCCTCTCCCTCCTCCATTTGTTCCCCCTCCTCGTCCAACTTGATCCTCTTGTTCCTCCTCCCAGACTTAGCTCCGCCCCTTTTCCCCCTCCCCACCTTCTCAACTTTCTTTTTCTTCCCCTTCACCTCTTTCTTTGGCCTTCCCCTTTTCCTAACCGGAATTTTAACATCACAATTCTTCAAAATTCTACTGAAGCTCTCATTGGATATCAACTTCTCGCTCTCGCCACTTCCACTCCCACTCTCACTCTCACTATCTTCACTCCCACTCCCACTCTCATCCTCACTAGCAGTGGCGCCATCTTCCAGCTTTTTTCCACACTGTGAGCAGTTAGAATTTTTACTAATTAATTTTTTTTTCTGCTTTTCCGATCTATCGTCTCTCAAATCTTGATCTCCGTCATTTTGACGTAAATTATTAATAAATTCACTTAGGATTTCTCGGGATTGGGAACAGGAAACTAATTAATCAAATAATTATAATTAATTAATTAAATTAATAATTAATTAATTAAAAACTTACCTTCAACGGAACTCGACGGGTTCATAGTTTTATTCGGCAAACTTTTAGCCAATAACGCGGGACCTGATTCCGTTAATGACGTTGTAGTTGAATTACTATTGTGATTATTTATAACACTATTATTACTATTACTATTACTGTTAGTATTATTATTATTATTATTATTATTAATCGCGGATGCTGTTCGAGGTATTTTGTTTGGCTGTGTTCCGTCGCAAAGACGGGCTTCTTGTGAAAATAATTGAATTGCTTGCGCTGCCGCCTGATTTGGCGTCAAATTAGTTACCTGGAAAATTAATTAGATTAATTACTTGTTAATTGAAAAAATTTTTATGTCTTCACTTTAATAATCTCAATTAATGACTGACATTTTTAATAATATCAAATTTAAAATGACTTTTCTGGCTTTTAACTGTCGATTAATCACGATTAATCATGATTAATCGAGCTTTTTTAACGAATTAATCATTATTTTTCTCTGGGATTAAAAGATAGATATTAACCAAGTCAATGAATTTATAATTTTTTAATTTCTTACCTTGCCGCTAGAGGCGCAGTGTTGATTGTCGCACTGAGAATTACCACAGCCATCGGTTAATTGATAAAAATAACGCTCTATTAACATTTTGGCGGCTGCACGCTTCATGTCACTACACGGACTCTCCGCTCCTACCCTAAAAGATTTATTAATTATTGTGTAGACAATACACTCATCGAGACCTTTCATTTGAGTACCCACATCAATTTTTCATATATTTCATATATTTATATATATTATATATATATATGTATATATGAAAAATATATAAAAAATGCATGTGGGTACTCAAATGAAAGCCCTTGATGAGTGTAATATCGGAATGAGCTTATATCTTTAAAAATGTCAATAATTATAAAATGACCTTGTATCTTGAGATCAATTGACATTTTTGAAGATATAAGCTCATTCCGATCTTACACTTATCAAGACCTTTCATTTGAGTACCTACATCAATTTTTCATATATTTTATATATTTATATATATTAGATATATATGTATATATGAAAAATATATCAAAAATGCATGTGGGTACTCAAATGAAAGCTCTTGATGAGTGTAACATCCGGATGAGCTTATATCTTTAAAAACGTCAATATTTAAGAAAGTAAAGTGCAATTTAACAAAAGTTAGGATTTCATTGTTTTAAACATATTTTAAATTAAGATTGTCCAATTTTTTGTTTTACATTATATTAATTAATCTTTTGAGAAACAAAATTAATGCTTTTTAATAATATTTTCTCAAGTTTAATAATTAATTTCAATCGACAAAGTCAATCATCCGGTTACACCAATTATTGACAGGCTGATAAATCGATTGATCCAACTAGTGACATACCGTTGGACCAATTATTGACACCCTTAATGCTTACTTGTCACCATTAATCTGATCTAAATACAATAAGTAAAGTCTGATTGGAGAGGTTACAGCTTGGTATAAACTCACCTGTCAATATCACATCCATATATTTTGTGTACCAATTATTGACACCAATTATTTTATAATTAATAACCATTCAGTTGAATGTAAATATCCGATATTGTTAATTTTTAATACTTAATTTATTTATTAAAAAAAAATGTTCAATTTGATTAGTTTAAAAAATAATTAAAAATCTGGAAATTTTAATGCTTACTTCTAGTTTATTTTACGAGTTTAAGAATACTAAACTTTATTATTTTAATTAATTAATCTTTCTCATTAATTTTTTTTAATTATTGTATAAAAAATTGTTATTAATATTGTAGATAAATAAAATTTAAAATAAAATAGGGTGTCAATAATTGGTGCATTTACTCAACAATTTTTTTTTTTCAAATAAATGAGTGCAAAAATTAATTAATATGTAAAAATTAAACATGCAATTTTTTGTAATAAATTTGTTTGTTAAATAAAATAAAATTCCAGTCCTAAATTTAGAATTCTAAATTTTTAATTTTATTTTTTCCCAAAAAATAAAATTGTCACTTAAATAATTTAAAAAAATTACTAACCTGGAAGCAAAATCTTCTCCAGGGTCTTCCGAAGCTTTTCCGTTCATAGATTTATAATTATTCCCTTTCTTCAATAAATAATTGTCAGCTTAAAATAAAAATGAATAAAAAATTTGAAAAATAAAAATAATTTATTTTTTGAGGTTATGCTTGTGTGTTTTTATTAACAATTTTGAAATAAGTGAATGCTATTTTTATATTAACAAATATATCCACTTAAATTTTCTTTGTTCTATTTTTATAAAAAATAAAAATTGCGCAAAATTTAGTCATTGTCATTTAATAATAAATAAAAAAATATTTTTTTAAAAGTACTTACTTTAATAATATTAAATTTTAATTGTCAAGTTTTTTTTTATTTTTTATTTTTCTTACAATTACATTTAATGACAATGACAATTGTTTATTTACCAGCGATTTATTTCTCAGCTTAATTTCACTTGTTGGTTTTATTTTTTTTTTTTATTTATTTATAATTATTATTATTATTATTATTTGGTAGTGTAGATTTTATTTATTTGTAAATAATGAATAATTGTTGCGTTAAACTTCAACTATTTAATTGAACTATTTTTGTTGATAAAATGTTGAGGAAAAAAAAATTATGTATAGTGCGTGTTATATATATGTGTAAATAAATATTGAGTATACTTGTGTGGGTTTTTGGTATAGTTAATTTATGTATAGTAAGCGCGCAGTGCATTGTAGGAAATATTAGACAGCTGATGGAATTTTTTTTTAATTAAAAAAAATTTTTTTAATTTAATTTAGTTTTTTTTGAATAAAAAAATTATTAAAATAAATTTAGCATATATTAAATAATTTTTAGAATTTTTTTTAACTAATTAAAAAAATTAATTTTAAATAATTTTTTATTTTTTTTTTTAAATAAAAAATTTATGAAAATAAATTTAGCAGATATTAAATAATTTTTAAAATTTTTTATTTTTAAATTACGGCGAAAAAAATTGACATGTAGAAATTTAAAAAAATAAAAAATGCAATTTTTTTTTAAATAATTTTATGGGATAAATTTCTTTGTTAAAAAAAAAGTTTTTAATTTTTCAATGACTGCTACCTTTAATTTCATAAAAAAATTCTCTGGGAAATTTAGTTTTTAATTTATTGATTTTTTTTTAATAATTAAATTAGAACAAAAAAATATTTTTTAAAAATTGCACTTACAGTTTTTAAAGTTTTTTACAAATGAAATTTTTTTTCTTTTTTTTTTTGCAGTCATTTTTTCAATAAAAAAAATAAAAAAAATTTTTAAATGTTGACTAACTTAATTTTTATTTTTTTGACAATTTTAATTAATTTTTTTAATTGATAAATAATTGTAGAAAAAATTTATAATAAAAATTATAAATTAAGAAATTTTTTTAAAAATGTATATTTATATTTTTTATGGAATTGTCAGCTTACAGCTGACAATTTAAAAAAATTTTATCATAGGATAAAAATTGAAACTAAAATTGCAATTATAATTTTACTTATAAATATTTAATTGTTAAAAATTCTAAAAATTGTGATTTGTCTAAAAAAAAATTTAAATTGTTAGTCAATTTATTTCTTAATTTTTGTGATCAATTTTTTTTTTTTTATTTAAAAAATAAATATGATGAATTTTATTCATTAATTAATTAAAAAAAAAATTTTAAAGTATCTTAAAAATTTAGAGTTTTAATTTTGGTAATTTTTAATTAATAAATAATTGCAGAATTTACAAAAAATTATTATGGCAATTTTTTATGCAACTATCAGCTGACTGACCACATGCATTTTTGATATATTTTTCATATATACATATATATAATATATATTTTGAAGATATAAGCTCATCCTGATATCATATATAAATATATGAAAAATATATCAAAAATTGATGTGGGTACTCAATTGAAAGGTCTCAATGAGTGTAATGTCAAAATGAGCTTATATCTTTAAAAATGTCAATAATTCACAAGATACAAGGTCATTTCTCAATTATTCATATTTTTAAAGATATAAGCTCACCTTGACATTACACTCATCAAGACCTTTCATTTGAGTACCCACATGCATTTTTGATATATTTTTCATATATACATATATATAAATATATAAAATATATGAAAAATTGATGTGGGTACTCAAATGAAAGGTCTCGATGAGTGTAACATCAGGACGAGCTTATATCTTCAATAATGTCAATAATTGGTGCATTAATTTCAAAAAAATAAAAAAATTATCCTAAATTTTATTCATTTATTTTAATCTATGAGTCAAAAAGTATTAATTCAAAGACTTAAATAAACATCTCTATAAATATGAAAATTTTTTTTATACATCAAAGTTAAATATACAAACATATATAATACACTTTCAATAATAATTAATAATAATAAAAAAAGAAATTATTAAAAATAATACTATTAATTTATCTAACTCTACCATTATTTCTAAAACTTCGTCCTCTTTTTCTCTTCCTGCCTTTTTTTACTTCCAAAATTTCTTTTTCTCCAAAATCAGTCACGGTTCCTGGAACAGTTTCACCAGCCGCAGTTCCACCAACAGGTGGCGCTGCAATAGTTTGCGATTGATTGGGTGTAAAAATACTATCACAACTGCAGCTACGTTTTAATTTACCATTATTAAATTTTGTATTAAGCTGATCTTCAGTTAAATAGAATAATTTATCAAAACTCTGAGTTTTTTTGATAAATAAATTAGGCTTAGCATCAATTAAAGATTTAATACGATTTAAATCAATGCTAACATGGCAGCTCATACCGCCATCTTGGATTTCATTTGACAAATTTTTATCTGTAATTTCTTCATTATTTACAAAATTAATTTCAGAATTTTCAACATCATTATTATTAATATTATCCGAATTTTGATGATCAATATCACCAAGACATTTTAACGAGCGTAATTTCCGTCCATTAAAATCGCCATTTAAATTCTCATCATTGTTTATCGGCTTAAGATTTTCTTTGGCAGTGTCTGTTGTCTGGTGATAATTGTAACTACTACTTCCTGAGTTAGGTATCGCCACTGTTGAAGACTCAGCTGAGTTATCGCCTTTTATTCTGTCGGAAGCACTGTCGTTAGTTAATAAATTATTATCATCTGGGTTGCTATTATTATTTATGGAACTGGATATGTTTTCATATTTCATCCGCTTTGATTTAGGTCCACGAACCCGCGAAGACCTTGGCTTTACTATGCAAACATTATTCCGCCCGGAACGTAATCGTTGACCATCGTCTGACTTTATCGCACTATCTAAATCTATGTTCATTCTATAATTATCGTACGCTGTTATCTGAAAATTAATTTATAAATTAAAAATTAATTTGGTTAATTTATTTGTGCTCCTTAAGCTAGTTTAAAATTATGAGTTTTCAATTTTTTGAAAGAAAAAAAAATAGTTCAGTGAAGTTCCAGGAACAATAGTTCTAGGAACTGCAGTTCCAGGAACAATAGTTCTAGGAACTACAGTTCCAGGAACAATAGTTCTAGGAACTGCAGTTCCAGGAACCGTTGTTCAAGGAACCATAGTTCCAGGAACAGTTGTTCGAGAAACGATAGTTTTAGGAACTGTTTTTTAAGGACCACAAGTTCCAGGAACTGTTGTTCGAGGAACAGAAGTTCCAGGAACTGTTGTTCGGTTGTTCATGGAATAGAAGTTTCAGGGACGATTGTTTGAGGAACGGCAGTTCTAGGAAACGCTGTTTTAGCAGCAAGAAATTCTAGAAATCATTCTAGGGACAATAGTGTCAGAAACAACGGTTCCAGGAACCATTGTTCTAAAAACAGAAGCTCTAGAAGCCATTTTTTGAGAATTAATAGTACTAGAAACTGTTGTTCTGGGAACGATTGTTCCAGGAACCGTACTTCTAGAAGCAATAGTTTTAAAAACCACTGTGCAAAGAATAATAGTTCCAGGAACCGTAGTTCAAAGAGAAATGGTTCTACGAACCGTTGTTTAAAGAACAGAAGTTCAAAGAAACGGTGTTTGAAGAAAAAACGTCTTAAGAACCATTGTTCAATGAACAACACTTCTAAGAATCATTGTTCGAGGAATAATTTCAGGAACCATTATTCTAGGAACTGTGGTCAGAGGAACAGAAGTTTTAGGAATCGTTGTTCGAAGATCAGAAGTTCGAAGAACCGTTATTCGAAAAACAACAGTTCTAAGAACCATTGTTTGAGGAACAATTTCAGGCACTACTGTCTAGAAACAATAATTCTAGGAATTGTTGTTCAAAGAATGTAAGTTCCAAGAACCATTGTTCTAGGAACAATTTTAGGAATCTGTTCTAGGCACTATGTTTAGAGGAACTGAACTTCTAAGAACCGTTGTTCTGAGAACCGTTGTTCGAGGAACAGGAACCACTGTTCCAGGAACTATGGTCAGAGGTACAGAAGTTCCTGGAACTGTTCTGATAACAATAATGCTAAGAACCAATGTTCTAGGAACTAATGTTCTAGGAACAATAGTTCTAAGAACTAATGTTCTAGGAACAATAGTTCTAAGAACTAATGTTCTAGGAACCAATGTTCTGGGAACAATAGTTCCAGGAACCAATGTTCTGGGAACAATAGTTCCAGGAACCAATGTTCTAGGAACAGAATAACAAATAAATTTTTAAATTCTATAAAAAAATTTTTTGAACCACATTTTCTTCGGCTGCCCAATTTCAAAACACAGTAAAAATTTTTCTTATTAATTAAAAGTTTGCCTGCCATATTGATAAAAAAATTTGATTTATGAATAGAAAATACTTGAATATAAATATTTTTAAGAAAAAATATTTGAAATTAAGGTCTAAAAATTATAAAAAATGCATCAATATTAAAAAAAATTGAATATAAAAAAATTTTGCAGTTACTGTGTTTTAAAATTGGGCAGCTGTCTTAGTCTAGTAGAAATTTGCGTTTAAGGCCTACAATTATTAAAAAATAATCAATGTAATTAAAAACTTACTTCAAGAGAATTGTTAGAACACATCCGAAATTTTAAGTCTCTTAATAAAATCTTCTGACCCTTTACTCCAAATCGATCACTTCTGGAGCAGTCGTCGTTGCTAAATAAATAAAATAATAATTATTTAATATGAGTTTAATTAGATAGTTGGAAAAATTAACTTACTGTTGATCGTTGGTTGTTGGGTTGTGCTTTTTTGTTTTTGTGACTCTTGTTCTGGCTGCGCCTGATTCGCCTGGCTGACCTGAGGAGGCTGCTGGACCCTTCGCGTGGCCTGAGAGCCTGGATAAGACCTCGGTGCTGGATGGCGCTCCCGAATCGCCTGAAGAGGTGAATTGGTTAAGAACTCGTGTCTCCAAGGCGCTGGTTTTTCTGGGGGTGACTCGGCCCGCGGTTGAGATTGAAGTTGAGGTTGCTGGTGGAGATGATGGTGGTGGTGGTGATGATGAATGTGCCTCTGGTACTGGTTCGACGGTGGCTGTTGCTGGTGTTGCTGGTGCTGGTAGATTGAACTGGCTAGCAGGTTCGGAGCCTGCATCCCCGTCGGACTGTTAGAATTACAAGTTATACAAGAAAAAATGCATGAGGAGCAATGATTGATCAATGTTCCTCAGCAAGTTATTCTCAATGAAATTTTTTCATGCATTATTGATATTTATTTTTACTTTAGTAGAACCACCAATTGACAAATTAATTATGACATTTTATCAAAAACAATAGTTGGATTGAATAGTTGAAATTTTAAATACGGAACAATTAATTCCCATATTGAAATCATTTTCAAGGCTTGAACAAGAACTTTGGGCCAGGTAAATAACCCAGGTAACATGTGCTTGAACAAGATTTACATGGGTGATTCTCTGTAAGGACGTCTTAAATCTGTACAAAATTGTCCGACCAAATTATTTTTGAGTTTATTAGAAAAAAAATTAACAAGGGCTACAAAACTATCTTAATCATAATAAATAAACAGATTTAATTTTTGCTTTTTCGATATTTGAGTGTCTTTTGCCATATAAACATCACAGGGGACTGTTTGCCATTGCCAGGGGACTGACGTTTTAAAGTGGCCCAGACACATATTTCCAGCACAAACGGTGCTTTGACACTAAATAAAATGCCGATATAGCGCTAACAGCCCTATGGTTTATTAACTCAAGGCTAGTTAGGTCCTTATAAACCTTACAAAAGGTAAAATAACACGCTGGATTTTTTTTTGGCTTTGAACTTCTGGCAGGGGACTGTACTTAAAATGCCTGGGACAGACTTCGATTTGATGAAATTAATAAAACAAATTAATTTTCGGTACTTTTCATTGAAGAAGATTGTTAGTTAACTAATTAAATTTATAAACATTATCGACCTAATTATATATTATGGACGAATAACTTAAAATTTAATCTTAAAGTTCTAATTTCGGGAATGGGACAGCTCAGGGGACTGTTATTTCAGTGGTTTACGAATTTATAGCAAAAAAACAAAAATTTATTTCATTTTAGTTTTCAATACTCCAAATAGAAATGTTTTTTTACTTTCATAAAATGTCTGGGACATACTTTGGTTTAATGAATTTAATGGAACAAATTATTTTTCGGTACTTTTTATTGAAGAAGATTGTTAGTTAACTAATTAAGTTTATAAACATTATGGACCAAATTATATATTATGGACGAATAACTTAAAATTTAATCTTAAAGTTTTAATTTTGGGAATGGGATAGCCCAGAGGACTATTTCGGTGGTTTACGAATTTATAGCAAAAAAACAAAAATTTATTTCATTTTAGTTTTCAGTGCTCCAAATAGAAATGTTTTTTTACTTTTGTAATAAATTTTTTTTAGTAACAAAATAACAATTTTTCTAATAAAAAAATACCTGGGACAGCAAAAAACATTCTTACAGAAAATCGACCATATATGGTCGGTTATATAGTTCCAGGAACAATAGTTCTAGAACCAGTTTCAGGAACATCAGTTCCAGGAACAATAGTTCTAGGAACATCAATTCCAGGAACAATAGTTCTAGGAACATCAGTTCCATTAACAATAGTTACAGGAACTGATGTTCTAGGAACAGAAGTTCCAGGAACAACCGAGCTAGTTATATAACTAGCTCAAGACATCTTGTGGAAGAATATGAGACAAGTCTAATGCAAGGTGCATTGAAAAGCTTTCTGACGGATTTTTTGAATCAGAAACTCACAACAGACACTTAAATGACTTGCTCAACATTTGCTCAAGATCCGTAATTCTCAGTAATTTGTTCATTTCTAAAGTATTTGTCAACCAAAAACTAACAGCAAATGTTGAAGCGTGACTTGCTCAAGATTTGCTCAAGATGCATCATGCATTATATATTTTATAGCACTTTTTCCCCGACAACTACTTGAAGATGTATTGATTCAGTGGTGGTCATTTTAAAATAATTTTGTCTTGATCGATAAAACAGTAGGTCTATACTTTAAAAGGTTAAGCTGAATGAGATCTACTGATTCTATAGTAAATATAGGAGGGGCAGAATGATAAGAACGGTCATTCGAAAACATTTGACCTTGAGCAGATCTTGAGCAAATCTTGCACAAGTATATTCAGGATGCTTCTGGTGTCAGTCTTTCTCAAGAATTGATATAGTTAGTTTATCGATAAGCATCTTCAGATTTTCTCAATTTTCTTACACAATTGTTGAGCTATAATCTGGCCGAAAGTTCTTGTACAAGGCTTGTTCAAGACTTGTCAATTGAATTTGCTACAAGTATCTGGAGCAAGACCCATAGGTAAAGACACTAACCATCGAAATTGAAACCAGAGTAGCTCAAGCCTTGAAAAAGATTGCTATATGGGTAAATAATTGTTGCGAAAAAAAAATTTCACCTAATCAATATTCAATTCTTGTACATTAAATTTTAAAAATTTTCCAATTCATAAACATTATTATTAAATTGGCGTTTCTACCTTTCATCAAAATAAAAAATAAATCTTTTTACTTACAGTAATTTGCTGATCATTTCCTCCAGAAGACATCGTCGCTGCATTGTTTGGCGGCCCCAAAGGAAGAATATACTGCTTATCACAGAATTTGATAACCGCAGAGTTAGCTAAAGAAATTCCTCCAGCATAAGAAACCACATGATTTTGCATATAATTACTCGGCGGAACAATTCTAGTCATCCCTGTGGCAAAATTCGACACGCTAGGTGTCGTAGGCGTCGTAGGCGCTGTAGGATTAAGATCAGTCGTTGTACCACTTGCAGAATTATTGGGACCATATCTTGGTTTCTTTGGCGGAAGCGAAGCTCGCATAAGTTCCCGGGTGTTAGTATCAATCACATTGTTAACCCTATCAACCAAAGTTGACAATACCGATGGTGAGTCTGCTTTTCTTTTGCTAAACGCTCCCGAAGAACTTTCACTGGTAATGCTTTCACTTGTCGAAAAACTCAAGTTAGACTCAGAATTCTGAACTGGTTCCAAATCATTGACTACGTTAGTTGAATTATCTGGCACCCGGGCGAATTCTTCCGGAGCTAAAGAAGTCACATCAAGAATCTTGATATTCATCAGCCCGTCGTCTGGATTCAATAATTCATTTTGAGACTGTGATGCTAATTCTTCAGCAGGCTGTGCTGTTGTTCCATCATTTTCATCATCACTGTCAACAACTATAACATCTTCAATAATTTTATTACTTTTGGAACCTTGATTTGATTTATTTAACATAATATCTTGTCTACATCTTGCTGTTCCTTCTAAAGGTTCTTGTATTGAGTCAGTTCCAGGAACAATAGTTCTTGGAACATCAGTTCCAGGAACAATAGTTCTAGGAACATCAGTTCCAGGAACCGGTGTTCTAGGAACATCAGTTCCGGGAACTGATGTTCTAGGAACAGAAGTTCCATTAACAATAGTTCCAGGAACCCATGTTCTAGGAACAGAAGTTCCATCAATATTAGTTCCAGGAACCGATATTCCGTGAACAGAAATTCCAGGAACCGATGTTCCGTGAACAGAAATTCCGGGAACCGATGTTCTAGGAACAGAAGTTCCAGGAACCAATGTTCTAGGAACAAAGGTTCCACCAACAATAGTTCCAGGACCCGGTGTTAAGGGAACAAATGTTCCAGGAACTGATGTTCTAGAAGAAGTTCCAGGAACAACAGTTCCTGGAACAGAAGTTCCAGGAACCGATGTTCTAGAAGAAGTTCCAGGAACCGTTCCAGGAACTGAATTCAATCTTTGACTATCATTACTTCTAAAAATCGAAACATCATTTTGTTTTTGATTAGAAGTTTCAGGTAAAGATTTTCTCGGTTGAATAGACAATTCAGGATATTTAACAGCCTGAAGAATTTTCTCAGGAGAATTTTGCGGAGTAACTTTTCTAACTTCAAGAATAGAAATTTCATCTTCCTCTGAATTGTTCCTTAGCGTATCAGAGGAACCTGGAACCGCTTGTTGTTCATCAAGAATGCTTTTAAGCTGTTGAATCGTCGTAGGTTCCGTAAGTTGTTGAGCAGTCTGATGAAGCTGTTTGAGCTTAGCAGACCTGGGTCCAGGTTTAAGATTAATCGAGGCAAGTTCCAGAGCTTTAGTGACACTTCTTGAAGAATCTTCATCGTCACTGTCAATATTAACGTCAATATCATGCGGAACGGTTCCATTGATTCTGGTGGTGGTTTCTGAGAACTTTTTAGAGAGAATTGAGACACAGTCGTTGCAATCCCAGGACTTGGCCCATTTTAGGTTCGTACAGCGAACGTGAGTTCCTTGAGAACCGCAAGTTCGGCAGAGAACCATCTCCCAGGAGGAATTGGTGGAGCTGTTGTAGTCACGGCCTTGAGGACACTGGCACTCCTGAGCGTCGCATCTGTTGTGGCGGTACAGCAGTTCCTGGAACGCGTTTGGAACCAGTTCCCAGGAAGCGTCCTGGCTTGGAACGAATATTCCGCATTCTTGCATCGCGCTTTGGAATTCTTTCTTGTTATTGCACAGAGGACACTTGAAGAAGTATCCAGCGCTTAGGGCCAATTGTTGAACACAGTTCCGGTGGAACCAAGCGTTCTTTTTGCAACATGGCGCCCAAAGAGTCTTGAAGACATCATGTCGGGATGCCGAGTCGAAGCAAATCCAACATGTTGTGCGTTCTGGGGTGGATTTAAGGACTGTGCTGTCAATGTGCTGCTTTGGACGGTGGGATTGGCAGAATGATTTGAATTGGTCGAAGAATTGGTGCAGGGTGTTGTTCTTTAGGCCGCAGGGTAAGTGGAACACTTTTTTGCATTTTTTATTGACGCAACCGAGGGTTGCGCCCTTTCTTTTGCAGAATACGCAGATTAGTCTCTTCCCGCGGTTTAGTTCTCGGTTTATATCGGCGGGAAGAAAGCCAAGGATTCCTTCGTCGTCACCACCTCTTTGCTGCATGTTGGATGACAGCAGCTGGAATTTTAAATTAAAGGCACCAATTATTGACACCCTTTAAATCTTATTTATCTACAGTATTAATAAAAATTTTTTTATACACTATTTAAAAAAAATTGAGAAAGATTAATTAATTAAAATAATAAAGTTTAGTATTCTTAAACTCGTAAAATAAACTAGAAGTAAACACTAAAATTTCCAGATTTTTAATTATTTTTTAAACTAATCAAATTAAACATTTTTTTTTAATAAATAAATTAAGTATTAAAAATTAACAATATCGGATATTTACATTCAACTGAATGGTTATTAATTATAAAATAATTGGTGTCAATAATTGGTACACAAAATATATGGATCTGATATTGGCAGGTGAGTTTATACCAAGCTGTAACCTCTCCAATCAGACTTTACTTATTGTATTTAGATCAGATTAATGGTGACAAGTAAGCATTAAGGGTGTCAATAATTGGTCCAACGGTATGTCACTAGTTGGATCAATCGATTTATCAGCCTGTCAATAATTGGTGTATCCGGATGATTGACTTTGTCGATTGAAATTAATTATTAAACTTGAGAAAATATTATTAAAAAGCATTCATTTTGTTTCTCTAAAGATTCATTAATATAATGTAAAACAAAAAATTGGACAATCTTAATTTAAAATATGTTTTAAAAAATGAAATCCTAACTTTTGTTAAATTGCATTGTACTTTCTTAAATATTGACGTTTTTAAAGATATAAGCTCATTCCGGTGTTACACCCATCAAGAGCTTTCATTTGAGTACCCACATGCATTTTTGATATATTTTTCATATATTTATATATATAATATATATATATAAATATATAAAATATATAAAAAATTGATATGGGTACTCAAATGAAAGGTCTTGACGAGTGTAATCTCAAGATGAGCTTATATCTTAAAAAATGTCAATAGTTCCCAAGATATTTGTTCAAATACCCTGTACTTTCTTAAATATTGACGATTTTAAAGATATAAGCTCATCCCGATGTTACACTCATTAAGAGCTTCCATTTGAGTACCCACATGCATTTTTGATATATTTTTCATATATCTCATATATATAGTATACACATATATAATATATATAAGTATATGAAATATTGATGTGGGTACTCAAATGAAAGCTCTCGATAAGTATAATGTCAAGCTGAGCTTATATCTTTAAAAATGTCAATAGCTCACATATATAAATTCAAAATATCTTCAAAAAAATCAAATCCTAACCATTTCTCTTAGTGTCAATAATTGGTGCTTTTTCCTTATCTTAAAATTTACATAAGATAACTTTTTTTTAAATTCCTACATGTGAAATTTCTTTACTAAATTCACATTTAAATTATTTAATTATCATAGGTATCAAAATTGTTACATGCTTATTGATTTAATTTATTTAATTTCACTAATAATTTTTTATAAAAAAAATTCCACATTTAGAAATTAAATAAAAATTTTTTTTATTATAATTAATAAATAAAAAAAAATTCATAAAAAATTTCTTTTGTAATTTTGTTATAATTTCTATTTAAAAAAAAAAAAAAGAACTCTAAAAGTTGTCAGATGTCATTTCAAATATTTTCTTTAATTTTATTTTTTTAAAAATAAAATTTAATTTTTTCTATTTAAAATACTAGTAATTATTTTATTAAATTAAAAAAAAAAAACTTACCAAACAATAATAATGAGTAATAATTCCATTGTGTTGATATATTTTCCCATACTTTATTTCATTATCCTCCGGATCATTACAAAAAACACAGATTTTCTGTTGGTTCATCTCCGGCGACATTTTATCCGCCCAACAACTTAAAAAATAAATTTAATTAATAAAAATATTTAAAAAAAAAAAAATATAACACAAAAATATGTAATATATAACTCACATAAATTAAATCATTAATAACAACAGCAACTCAAACATTCCCAGCGTATACATTAACCTCCAACAATAAAAAAATCAACCATGACACTTTACAATAATTAACACTTGAAACTTGTTTAAAATAATTAAATTATTTAATCACTATTTATTTGTATATTTATTTTTTGACAGATGTAAAAAAAATGGAGTATTTATTCCGGAAATAAATTATTTATTATTTATTGTATTTATCATTGCGGATAACAAACCACGCCATTTGCTGATCCAGCATCATCACACACACGCAACGACATTTTTATTGTGTAATAAACTATAGTCAAACCACACGATGTATAGTTAAGTATTTTTTTAAGGTATAGTATATTAAAATTTGAATTTTTTTATAACTTTAGTATTGTTATTTTTTTAACAATGTAAACAATTAATTTTTTTTATGTTAATTTTTAATTTATAATTAAATTAAGTGTTTTAAATTTTTTGATACTTAAATTTGATATCTAAAAAATTTTTTTTAACAATTAAATTATAAAAAAGATATTTTTTTTTTAAATTAGCACTTGAGATTATTTTGAATTTTTTTAATTAAAATTTTTAAGAATTATAATTACAATAATTTTAATTATTATTATTTCAAATTTTTAGGTAAGAAATTTTTGTTATTATTAAATTTTAATAATAATTTTAATAATAATTTCAATAATTATTATGATTATTATTATTATTAAAAAAATTCCTCACTTAAAAATTTGAAATAATAACAATAATTATGATTATTATTACAATTTTTAAATTATTATTATTTTATTAAATGCTCAGGGGGGTTGTCCCCGGAGTCCGACTCTCCGAGGGCCCAGCCTGAGCTCCATCCATTACTGCTGGACCACTCCGCACAACAAGGCGGTTAGTGATCACAGCAGGCCAAAGTCATTTTCCTAAGTAGACGGAGGGAATCTAGTAGCACAGCCTTCTGCATCCTGACTGCCAAGAACTCAGCTTTAGATGAGCAAGCTGGAACTCTGGCAAGTGAGGATACAAAAGACTGTTTCATCCCTCCAAGGACGCCAACAATCAGAACGACAAGCTTGACACGGTAACCTGGGTAAAGTTTACCAATTTCAAACAGGAGATCCTGATATATTTATCTTTTGTGCTCTTCTTTGGCTGAGATGATGTATTCAGCCGGGGCCGAAAACTCTTTGACATAAATGTCACG